TGCGTACGGAAAAGCGCCGAAATGGAAATTCCAACATGTTGGAATTTTCAGCACGTATCAGGCGCATACCAGCGTACATGCCAGTCACTTTGACTGACGGGGTCAAAAAATTAGTACTCGAAGGTGTCGCACGCGCTAAATACGACTCGGATTGCTGTTTTTTGTGAAAGGCTGAGCGCGTTTGGGCACGCTTGAACCGCAAGCGTACCGCGTCCACGCGCCAGTTGTGAACACAGCTTAACGCATTCCAATACGAAGCATTAGGTCGTTGAATGTCAGTATCACATCAGTCAGTGTTCTGCTAATCGCTGCATGTTCTGACTCACCCGTATCATGCTGATATTGGACACAACACGCATAACTTGTAAACCAGTCGTTTAATTTTAAATATAGTAAGGTGGAATCCTGATAATTCGAACCCCAAAAAGCCAAGGAAGAACTTCCAATCGTCGGGGTATTCAAATTATCCAAACATGTACCCACAACACTATGTACTATACTAAATGACATTCTGTAGATTCCCTGAGCCCCCCGCCCACACCTGTTGAATTAGATATCACAGGACTTGTTAGCACAAGCCGCATTGACACAAGTCGTCTCAAGGCATGTTCTTAGGCAAATGCTATAATTTTATCGCGTTGCTTTTAAAAGTTCAAGACATCCCACTTACTGACACAGAGGATTTGGGCTCGGTGATTGCTTGTGGTGTTCACAAACCTCTGTTTTCCCTCGCTAAACGTTACGGTTCTGTAAAGGGAGTTGCCGTTCACCACGATTGGTTTGACGTGATAAGGTGCTTGCCGAATAGCCAATCTCTCTAGGAATCTCTCTCTTATTAATACATGGCCATGTGCTTGCAGCCAGGCCCCGGTTACGAGGTGAAGTCCGTACTGCTCACATGCCTCCTCTGCGAATTGCTCTGTGACGTAGGGCCTCAGCGCTGGCGTTGCTGTGGTGTATACTGAAGAGTTGACGTGAAGCCACTTGGCTACAAAACAAGGGCACATACAGTAGCCAATAGGGAATATGTATAACAAACGCAACGACAATAGCGAGCATTCCCAGATGGCCTAGAGTACTCAACACCACCAGGATGGAGCAATCCAGCAAAGGACTGCCTTAGCTCCACTTTGTGCATGAATCGAAGCATTACAACAATGAGTTGACCGATTCTCTCTGGTCTCTTCTGCCTTTTTGACAAAAGTTATGAAATAAACCTAAATAACAGGTGCTCACAATCTAGTCATGCTCAATAAAACCCGGTCATGGAAAGGTCAATGCTACCATTTCACCCCTATTCTGAGACAGGTTCAGGTGTCGGCCAATATTTGCAGGCATGGGGCTGGGTGGACTTCATTGAGCAGCACCGTGCCATAGTTGGGAATCACCCAGCGGTTATACCAAGAGTACATAACCCCCCGGAGTGTGCAACTTCCACATACCCTGCTTTCCCGACAGACTTTCAAGTTGACGTCATTAATTATGGGGCTGGGGAGACTTCATTGAGCAGCACCATGCCATAGTTGCGGATTACTCGGTGGTCAAACGAAGGGAGTAGTATGACGCCGGGTTACATAAGCATATGACAGAAGTGTTTCGATTGGTCCCGTCAAGAGTACATAACCCCCCAGAGTGTGCAACGCCTGATCCAGCTGCGCATAGGGTCTTGGTCGAGCGGAATTGGATCTTTGCGTCATAATACCGTACACATCTGAGGGGAACCCGGGTCTTGCGCTGGCGTGGAGTGTACGAATGACATCAGAAGATCCGATTCCGCTCGACCAAGACCCGATGCAGAGCTGGATCGGCGTTGCACACTCTGGGGGGTTATGTACTCTTGGTTCCGTGTGTGTGGGTCTGAACCTGGCTATAACGATCAGTTTCCAATTGAACTCAGAAACCTCGGTTGTAATAACTCTTGCCGTGCCTACCCTATCCATTCGTCCCTGGCTACTCAACATTTCTCTCACTCGTTCATATGATCACAATGCAAAAGCCTACCTTCGCAGATGACATCTTGATGGCTTGCTCCATTACTATCATATAACTCTTCTCTTAACTCGTTCTTGCCCTGCTGGTATATGATATTTTGGTCATCCTCCTCGAGCGATGCCGATATTGAGATAGGGTTGCTGTCACCGCTCGCCATCATCTCGAGATGGCTTGCTCCACTACTATCATGTAACTCCTTTCTTAACTTGTTCTTAACTAGTTCTTGCCCTGACGATAGGAAGATAGGGTTGCTGTCACCGCTCGCCATCATCTCGCCATCAAGATGGCTTGCTCCACTACTATCATGTAACTTGTTCTTAACTAGTTCTTGCCCTGACGATAGGATGATAGGGTTGCTGTCACCGCTCGCCATCATCTCGCCATCAAGATGGCTTGCTCCACTACTATCATGTAGCTTGTTCTTAACTAGTTCTTGCCCTGACGATAGGGAGATAGGGTTGCTGTGACCGCTCGCCATCATCTCGCTTGATCCACTACTATCATGTAACTCTTCTCTTAAGTTGTTCTTGCCCTCCTTGTACATGACATGCTTGCCATCCCTCAAGAAAGATGTCCATATTGTGATAGGGCTGTTGAAATTGCTTGCCATCATCTTGTTGAGCAATTCTTCCATGCAGTCTCGCACGCCAAGCGTCTGACTGGTGAAGGCATTATAGTCTACCACGTCGTATCCTCTTCTCTTGCACATCTGGCGGGCATGCGTCAAGTTCGTTTTCTTCTGGCAGCTGTCACCGTCGAGGTGTGGATGACACGGCAAGCCGGCGAGAGCCATCCAGGTGTACATTGCCTTATCTGTACCCAGGCACTTTGTCTTGAAAGCTGAACATAACACAGTACACATGCAAGACACGGTCAGGTGAAATAGCACGCAACTGGACCACAGCCTAACAAGACGTACACTTGCTCAGTAGGGATACCGCAGTCCTTTTCAGAATTTGTTTACGACAATGATCAGAAATATCATCGGACCACAGCTATACAGTAAAACCTGGTGTAAGCGACCTCTGGGTTTAGCGACCACCTGCTCTTAACATGGACCATTTTTCCATGCACTGATAGTTCTACACAGACACTGTGGGACCTGGTTCTAAAGACCACCTAGCTTTAATGACCGCTTTTGCTTGCACCGTGGAGTGGTCGTTTAAACCAGGTTTTACTGTAGTTCTGGTGATGGCAGTCAATTTTTTTCCTGCAGACTTTTCCGCTTGCAGGTCCATGGAGTTAGCTATCCTGTTGTATAGTGCCGGTGGGCCTTGTGAACTCGGACACTGGCGTGTACGTCGTGCGGATGGAGAATGCCACAAATGTAGAGACCCACCAAGCGCAGCTCACAGCCAAAATAATCATAATGAACAGCAGCCGAGCTTTCAACTACTGCAAATCGCCCAATATTCGGGCCACTAAATTTTCGCGATTTCTTAGAACCAACAAATTTGCGATGGCAAAAGGTCGCGAAGCACAGGGGCCACCTACATACACCCACTGTTGAAGCTCGATTTCACGCTGGTTAATATTCGCATTACGCTCTTCTCGCGAAAATAGCGAACATTAATCCGTCGCAAACATTAGGCATTTTACAATATTCCAGAACACATGAACAAAACAGGGATTTACTTCATACGGCATATACTTACTGTGCTGACACTGATCTCCATGGAAACCTTTCCGGCAGATGCAGGTGCCATTTTCAGTGCACTGGCCGTCATTCAAGCATTTGCATGCTGCAGCAGTGATTGGGAATATTCACGCATTTTCCAAAGCACACGAAAAGAAACAGAATAACGGACTGTCGAGAAATTGTTCACATGCCCTTGCCCATCATCATGGACGCCTCAAACCAGCTCTTTTAACCACTCACAAGGGTGTCCAACTCCCCATATCAATATTTTGCCGAAGGGGTAGGGGCGCAGCATTGACTTCCGTGTACGCTGCTTTACACTTCAAGTGCAGAGATGTATTAATTTGTAGCTTAGATCAGTTTTTTTTACAATGCAACACAATATTGTAGCTTCTTCGCCCCTTTTGGTGTAATCTAGTTGCAGTGTTCAGATTAGCCAGAATTCTTGTAGCCGCCATATGCTCTCCCAATCAGTTTAAAATTATCACATTCCGGCTACAAACTGAGCATATGTTGCAGAATAGGTCGGAGAAGCCCGCATGAGGACTCGGAAGTTGTTTTCTTCTCTTCAAAATACAACATTCAAGCATGCGTGAGAGCATAGGTCATACATTCTCTGACATGCCTATGTAGCCCAGCATAGGTATAGTATTTTAATCAAGGTCTGTCGCCTACCTGCCCTCGCAATGGATATACTTACTTCCTCGTCTTTACTATGAAGCACCCAAACCACGGCTGCCACTAGCCACTGTTTCTCCCGGTTTATTGCACCCACTCTGATTGATAACACATAGTACTGTCTCTCTCTTATTGGCTACGGCCACCGTGAGAATAAAGATAATAATAATGCCTACATACATTACAGCAGCTTTCTTCAGCACTTACCTTCTGTGCAGTTAGGTCCATCTAGTCTGGCCGTACATTCGCATACTTTGTTCTTTTTCACCCACGGGTGCGTACACACAACTGCATCACACATCGCAAGGAAGGGGAAGAAGAGGAAGAGAGTAAATCAGGCAGACACGAAGTCAGACAGACTAAGGTTACGTTTGGTTGGTCACATTCCCAAATGGGAATCACTTGGAATCACTCGGAATCATTCTCGCCCGTTTGGCTGGTCAAAAAAGTGCGTTAGGCTGGTCACATTCCACATGATTCCAGAATGGGAATCGCTGAGAATGATTCTTTTTGGAGAATGATCATTCCACCTCACATGCTGGAATGATCATTCTCATTCCGGAATCAAAAATGATAATGGCTGCGACGAGCCAAACAATGTAGCACCAGGTTCAAGTGCCTCAAATCATGCACTCAGAAGTACCTTGACTCTCTCAAGGAAACTAGAGTCGGGTAAAAGAAAAGACAGCCGCCGTTCCACAACGACATCATGGAATTGCTATGTCAAGTGATTCCTAATTGATTCTGGCGCGTTAGTTTGGTCAGGTGATTCTTGCCGATTCCCATTCCAGAATGGTTCTCATTTACATTCTGAAAATGCCCAACCAAACGCAACCTAAGGTTGCATTTGGTTGGGCAATTCCGGAATGATATTAACCACCAAACAATAGGAGGACAGAGGAAGTGTTTTACTCAGAGTTTCACGCACTAAGCGATCATCAGAAAACAGCTGTTTTCTGATGATCGCTTAGTGTGTGAAACTCTGAGTAAAAACACTTCCTCTGTCCTCCTATTGCTTGAACCAGCTCTACCACTCGGTATTGAGCACTCTCTTGGACAGCCTGGAACCTCTCTGTTTTTGATATTGACCACCCGTGATTCTGGAATGTTAATGATAGCTTGCATGCCGTCCTACCGGTAAGACCACGCGTCCTACCGGTAGAACCCAAGAAATCGCGCTGCAAAAGTGCTGTTGCTTGAGAATCTTGTTGAAACAATTGTTGAGATGAGGTCCTTGTAGGACAAAGTAATGGCACAAATGCAAGACTATATACAGGGCATTGCATATGTGCAATTTTATCAATTGTCAAAATGGGCGCCATGTTCCTGTCGGAGCGCTTGCAACTCCGTCCAAAGTGAATTTCGACCATGGCATATCGATTGCCATGGCAGTGGAATGCAAAATTCCACACCTTGTTTACATGGTTACCATGGACTGTTGCCATAGAATTTCTTATATGCCTTGTACGATCACGTCCAAAATGCGTGGACTCCTTCATTAGTGAGTCAAAGTACTTCTCAGTGCATGATTAGAAAATCCCAAGGGAACTGAAAAAGAATACTTGAAGAAAACTAAATCTCTTCTACTTACTGAGTTGGCACTTGTCTCCGGTGAATCCTTTCGGGCAGCTGCATTCACCTTTGTTGTCACACTGACCCTGATTCAAGCACGTGCATGCTGCAACGCCCATCAATAAACGCATGCACGGAGTGGCATAGATAAATGCACGGGATGTTACTCTATGCTTAGTGGAAATCGAGACATTTATCATTTACTCGGAACTAGGTCTCCGGACCTGGTGAGAAGGCAGAAATGCCTGTTCACTTGGTGAACTTGGTGAACAACCATCGTGAGAATAATGAATTCAAACAACAACGACGACGACGACGCCGACGACGCCGACGACGACGACGACGACGACAACAACAACAACAACAACAACAACAACAACCACAACAACAACAACAACAACAACAACAACAACACTCGTGAGAATAAAAGATTTCAAACATTTGACTGAGGTGGGCATGATCGACAGGGCGAATCCCGAGCAAGTGCGTTCCGAGCAAGTGCGTGATCAATTGGCCTGATCTGGCCGAATCCGGGAGTCGCTGGAGTGGAAATGGACGTTGGCGTTTTTGGCAGCCTTCACAGAATTTTTGTACGACATGCGTGCATTTTGCGTACTACACCGTTGCTTTGTTCGATTGGGCCAGTGTTGCTCAGACTGTACTGCCTGCTCGCACTCAATCAATGACACCTTTGGGCACGAGTTAACACAATATAAGAACCAATTAGCCGTAGGTAATGTCAGCCATCTCCAGCAAATGCTTCATCCAAGGTACAAGGCTTTCCATGACTTTCACATGCGCATTCTCAGATAAAAACAAAACAAAAACCCGAATGGCTCGGTGTCTTACCCTTTTCACAATATTGACCATAGGTTGAGGTGCGGTTGCATACACAACTCAGGTTTGGTCCAAGAAAACCGGTCTCACAGGTCTCTGTGCAGAACAGGACAACAAAAAGTCAATTGCATTACTCTCTAAAGGCCGAATACAACTTTCTGCGACGCAACACGCGATTTGCGACAGTTGCGACAAGAATCTGCCTGTCGTGAGCTGTCGCAAGCTGTCCATTGTGCGTACAAGAAATGCTTGAATACGATGTTTGCACATAGCAAGGTCACATCGTACATGGTGGCACATTATTAGCACAAGCCCTGTTCGCACAGTTTACGCTGGCACAGGACACATGTTACACAAATGCACAACAGTCCTCATCGTGCTGATGTCACACACAAGGGCAGAGCACTACTTGCGCATGGTCAGCCATTTAAGAAGCCTTGTCTCACTTACTGACACAGAGAATCTGGGCTTGAGTTTTTTTTGTGGCATTCTGAAACGTCTGCTTTTGCGCGCTAAACGTTACGGTTCTGTGAAGGGAACTTCCATTGGCTCGGATTGACGCGACGTGGTAAGGTGCTTGCTTGTGCTTATGCAGTAAGGCCAATGTCCCTAGCCAGCGCTCTGTTAACACATGGCCATGTTCTTGTAGCCAATCCTTGGTAATGAGATGAAATCCGTACTCCTGACATGCGTCCTCTGCAAACCGCTCAGTCACCCTGGGTCTGAGTGCTGGAGTTGCTGCGGCGTATACAGAATCGTTGGCATGGAGCCATTTGGCTGCAAAACAAGGGCATATACAGTTGCGGGTAGAAACATCATGAAACAAATCATGAAACAAAACATTTGCAAATCACTCAGCGATTTTATCAAGGGAGTAATATAACACCGGGTTACGACACAAGCATACGCATGAAATGTTTCTTTGCAGATGAAATTAATTGGTTACTCATGCGGGGATATGACCCTGGCTAGAGCGGTAGGTTTCTCTTTGAAGAGGGAAACCTCGGTTGCATTCACTACTCCCGCCGTCTCTGTTTCATTCCTCCTGTCCCACTACTATCACTGGACACAGCCTTTAACCCATTCAGCTCTCTATGTATATGTTATCGCATGGTTGCAAGGGCCTTATGGCATATTATTGCCCCGAGAGGTTAGCCCGAGGGCCGTAGGCCCGAGGGCTAACCTCGAGGGGCAATAATATGCCATAAGGCCCGCAGCAACCATGCGATAACGAATTTATCACATGGCCCACAGAGCAGACCATTGGGCTGCTGTTGAAATTGGCCCAAATGCCAACATATTATGACCACAATGTATATTGATGTGCTATCATTATCAAAACAGGAACAATGAAGATATTTCTCCTACACCCTAACAAAAAGTCTGCTACAGGCCATCAGAGAGTATACAGTACTGAAAGACGGAGACAGAAAAAAGTGCCGGCACCGCATCGTCATAGCAATAGACATGGCAGTGACTTTGCGAGGATCTGAAAACGCACGACGCTGAGTTGAATTTGTGTTATTTCAAATATTTGTTTGTGATCACAGTGCCACTTCGAGCAGAACTGAATCTTATCCAAAAGCTTACCGACGGTCAGACTGCCAACATGACTGAACAAATGATCCCTGAAAGCACCACACGGCAGACGTCCGAGGCCATGTCCATTGCCGGGATGTCCATCTCCAAAAAGAATTCCATCTTCGTCTCAATGCTACACTGCGACTCGTCGTAGAGTCGTACATTCTACAGAGTCGTCGTAGTCACGCGAGGAAAGCTGAGATCGCCACTTTCGACCACGCCTTCACATGCCACCCTGCGCCGTACAGTCACCATGCCCATCATGTTCACATCCCGTAGATTTCACGCGTACAGTCTCAGTCAGGGTTGTCACTGACAATGGGCTTTGGACGCGGGCGTTGGACTGATTTATTGCCCGCTCATACAGACCAGTGATTGGCCCGATCCAAGGAAACACTCACGTGACATGTGATAAATATATTTATCACTCTCTTATTATTGACCCCCACAGAAACTTGTGATCTCTAAGCGGTCAAATATCAGCATATATTGACCGCTTATACTGACCACTTATTATTGACCACTTATTATTCACTTATTATTGACCACTTATTATTGACCACTTATTATTGACCACTTTAATAGCCCGAGGACTTAGAACTTTTTCCTCAACTTCGAAAAAAATCTGAACTGAAAGAAGAAAAATCTGAAGCCAAATGTTGGGATTTTAACCCAAACTGTCAGATTCTCAATCAAGGAACTTGGGGAACATACTACAAGTGACAACTGAAAACTTCTATGTACTATTACCCGAAGGACGTACCCAGAGTGCTGACAGTGCTCAACACCACAAAGGCAGAGCGTAATACACAACAGAACAACAAGGACAATCAAGGCTGGTTTGCTGCTACTTTAAGTTTCATGCTCACGCAATCATCAGGCAATAGTGCCTGATGATTGCGTGAGCATGAAACTTAAAGTAGCAGCAAACAAGCCTTGATTGTCCTTGTTGTTCCGTTGTGTACTATGTACTATTACAATAGTATTCCTTTCTTCTAGGGGTGAAACAATTATACCGAATACTCGAGTACTCGCTCGGTTTTTTCAGAAATAATCAAAGCATTACAACTATGAGTTAACCGATTCTCTCTGGTCTCTTCTGCCTTTTTGACAAAAGTTATGAAATAAATCTAAATAACAGGTGCTCACAATCTAGTCATGCTCAATAAAACCCGGTCTAATGGAAAGGTCAATGCTACCATTTCACCCCTATTCTGAGACAGGTTCAGGTGTCGGCCAATATTTGCAGGCATGGGGCTGGGTGGACTTCATTGAGCAGCACCGTGCCATAGTTGGGAATCACCCAGCGGTTATACCAAGAGTACATAACCCCCCAGAGTGTGCAACTTCCACATACCCTGCTCTCCCGACAGACTTTCAAGTTGACGTCATTAATTATGGGGCTGGGGAGACTTCATTGAGCAGCACCATGCCGTAGTTGCGGATTACTCGGTGGTCAAGCGAAGGGAGTAGTATGACGCCGGGTTACATAAGAATATGACAGAAGTGTTTCGATTGGTTCCGTCTAGAGTACATAACCCCCCAGAGTGTGCAACGCCTGATCCAGCTGCGCATAGGGTCTTGGTCGAGCGGAATCGGATCTTTGCGTCATAATACAGTACACATCTGAGGGGAACCCGGGAAGTCGCGGGTACTCTCGGATCAAAAACAATGGTGCCCTGCCTCGAGACTGGCCTTGCGCTGGCGTGGAGTGTACGAATGACATCAGAAGATCCGATTCCGCTCGACCAAAACCCGATGCAGAGCTGGATCGACGTTGCACACTCTGAGGGGTTATGTACTCTTGGTTCCGTGTGTGTGGGTCTGAACCTGGCTATAACGATCAGTTTCCAATTGAACTCAGAAACCTCGGTTGTAATAACTCTTGCCGTGCCTACCCTATCCATTCGTCCCTGGCTACTCAACATTTCTCTCACTCGTTCATATGATCACAATGCAAAAGCCTACCTTCGCAGATGACATCATGATGGCTTGCTCCATTACTATCATATAACTCTTCTCTTAACTCGTTCTTGCCCTGCTGGTATATGATATTTTGGTCATCCTCTTCGAGCGATGCCGATATTGAGATAGGGTTGCTGTCACCGCTCGCCATCATCTCGAGATGGCTTGCTCCACTACTATCATGTAACTCCTTTCTTAACTTGTTCTTAACTAGTTCTTGCCCTGACGATAGGAAGATAGGGTTGCTGTCACCGCTCGCCATCATCTCGCCATCAAGATGGCTTGCTCCACTACTATCATGTAACTTGTTCTTAACTAGTTCTTGCCCTGACGATAGGATGATAGGGTTGCTGTCACCGCTCGCCATCATCTCGCCATCAAGATGGCTTGCTCCACTACTATCATGTAACTTGTTCTTAACTAGTTCTTGCCCTGACGATAGGGAGATAGGGTTGCTGTGACCGCTCGCCATCATCTCGCTTGATCCACTACTATCATGTAACTCTTCTCTTAAGTTGTTCTTGCCCTTCTTGTACATGACATGCTTGCCAGCCCTCAAGAAAGATGTCCATATTGTGATAGGGCTGTTGAAATTGCTTGCCATCATCTTGTTGAGCAATTCTTCCATGCAGTCTCGCACGCCAAGCGTCTGACTGGTGAAGGCATTATAGTCTACCACGTCGTATCCTCTTCTCTTGCACATCTGGCGGGCACGCGTCAAGTTCGTTTTCTTCTGGCAGCTGTCACCGTCGAGGTGTGGATGACACGGCAAGCCGGCGAGAGCCATCCAGGTGTACATTGCCTTATCTGTACCCAGGCACTTTGTCTTGAAAGCTGAACATAACACAGTACACATGCAAGACACGGTCAGGTGAAATAGCACACAACTGGACCGCAGCCTAACAAGACGTACACTTGCTCAGTAGGGATACCGCAGTCCTTTTCAGAATTTGTTTACTACAATGATCAGAAATATCATCGGACCATCACAGCTATACAGTAAAACCTGGTGTAAGCGACCTCTGGGTTTAGCGACCACCTGCTCTTAACATGGACCATTTTTCCATGCACTGACAGTTCTACACAGACACTGTGGGACCTGGTTCTAAAGAGTTAGCTGTCCTGTTGTATAGTGCCGGTGGGCCTTGTGAACTCGGACACTGGCGTGTACGTCGTGCGGACGGAGAATGCCACAAATGTAGAGACCCACCAAGCGCAGCTCACAGCCAAAATAATCATAATGAACAGCAGCCGAGCTTTCAACTACTGCAAATCGCCCAATATTCGCGTCACTAAATTTTCGCGATTTCTTAGAACCAACAAATTTGCGATGGCAAAAGGTCGCGAAGCACAGGGGCCACCTACATACACCCACTGTTGAAGCTCGATTTCACGCTGGTTAATATTCGCATTACGCTCTTCTCGCGAAAATAGCGAACATTAATCCGTCGCAAACATTAGGCATTTTACAATATTCCAGAACACATGAACAAAACAGGGATTTACTTCATACGGCATATACTTACTGTGCTGACACTGATCTCCATGGAAACCTTTCCGGCAGATGCAGGTGCCATTTTCAGTGCACTGGCCGTCATTCAAGCATTTGCATGCTGCAGCAGTGATTGGGAATATTCACGCATTTTCCAAAGCACACGAAAAGAAACAGAATAACGCATTTTCCAAAGCACACGAAAAGAAACAGAATAACGGACTGTCGAGAAATTGTTCACATGCCCTTGCCCATCATCATGGACGCCTCAAACCAGCTCTTTTAACCACTCACAAGGGTGTCCAACTCCCCATATCAATATTTTGCCGAAGGGGTAGGGGCGCAGCATTGACTTCCGTGTACGCTGCTTTACACTTCAAGTGCAGAGATGTATTAATTTGTAGCTTAGATCAGTTTTTTTTTACAATGCAACACAATATTGTAGCTTCTTCGCCCCTTTTGGTGCAATCTAGTTGCAGTGTTCAGATTAGCCAGAATTCTTGTAGCCGCCATATGCTCTCCCAATCAGTTTAAAATTATCACATTCCGGCTACAAACTGAGCATAATATTATGTTGCAGAATAGGTCGGAGAAGCCCGCATGAGTTGTTTTCTTCTCTTCAAAATACAACATTCAAGCATACGTGAGAGCATAGGTCATACATTCTCTGACATGCCTATGTAGCCCAGCATAGGTATAGTATTTTAATCAAGGTCTGTCGCCTACCTGCCCTCGCAATGGATATACTTCCTTCCTCGTCTTTACTATGAAGCACCCAAACCACGGCTGCCACTAGCCACTGTTTCTCCCGGTTTATTGCACCCACTCTGATTGATAACACATAGTACTGTCTCTCTCTTATTGGCTACGGCCACCGTGAGAATAAAGATAATAATAATGCCTACATACATTACAGCAGCTTTCTTCAGCACTTACCTTCTGTGCAGTTAGGTCCATCTAGTCTGGCCGTACATTCGCATACTTTGTTCTTTTTCACCCACGGGTGCGTACACACAACTATTTTCCCATGCACTGACAGTTCTACACAGACACTGTGGGACCTGGTTCTAAAGACCACCTAGCTTTAATGACCGCTTTTGCTTGCACCGTGGAGTGGTCGTTTAAACCAGGTTTTACTGTAGTTCTGGTGATGGCAGTCAATTTTTTTTCTGCAGACTTTTCCGCTTGCAGGTCCATGGAGTTAGCTGTCCTGTTGTATAGTGCCGATGGGCCTTGTGAACTCGGACACTGGCGTGTACGTCGTGCGGACGGAGAATGCCACAAATGTAGAGACCCACCAAGCGCAGCTCACAGCCAAAATAATCATAATGAACAGCAGCCGAGCTTTCAACTACTGCAAATCGCCCAATATTCGCGTCACTAAATTTTCGCGATTTCTTAGAACCAACAAATTTGCGATGGCAAAAGGTCGCGAAGCACAGGGGCCACCTACATACACCCACTGTTGAAGCTCGATTTCACGCTGGTTAATATTCGCATTACGCTCTTCTCGCGAAAATAGCGAACATTAATCCGTCGCAAACATTAGGCATTTTACAATATTCCAGAACACATGAACAAAACAGGGATTTACTTCATACGGCATATACTTACTGTGCTGACACTGATCTCCATGGAAACCTTTCCGGCAGATGCAGGTGCCATTTTCAGTGCACTGGCCATCATTCAAGCATTTGCATGCTGCAGCAGTGATTGGGAATATTCACGCATTTTCCAAAGCACACGAAAAGAAACAGAATAACGGACTGTCGAGAAATTGTTCACATGCCCTTGCCCATCATCATGGACGCCTCAAACCAGCTCTTTTAACCACTCACAAGGGTGTCCAACTCCCCATATCAATATTTTTGCCGAAGGGGTAGGGGCACAGCATTGACTTCCGTGTACGCTGCTTTACACTTCAAGTGCAGAGATGTATTAATTTGTAGCTTAGATCAGTTTATTTACAATGCAACACAATATTGTAGCTTCTTCGCCCCTTTTGGTGTAATCTAGTTGCAGTGTTCAGATTAGCCAGAATTCTTGTAGCCGCCATATGCTCTCCCAATCAGTTTAAAATTATCACATTCCGGCTACAAACTGAGCATGATATTATGTTGCAGAATAGGTCGGAGAAGCCCGCATGAGTTGTTTTCTTCTCTTCAAAATACAACATTCAAGCATACGTGAGAGCCTAGGTCATACATTCTCTGACATGCCTATGTAGCCCAGCATAGGTATAGTATTTTAATCAAGGTCTGTCGCCTACCTGCCCTCGCAATGGATATACTTACTTCCTCGTCTTTACTATGAAGCACCCAAACCACGGCTGCCACTAGCCACTGTTTCTCCCGGTTTATTGCACCCACTCTGATTGATAACACATAGTACTGTCTCTCTCTTATTGGCTACGGCCACCGTGAGAATAAAGATAATAACAAGAGTACATAACCCCCCAGAGTGTGCAACGCCTGATCCAGCTCTGCATAGGGTCTTGGTCGAGCGGAATCGGATCTTTGCGTCATAATACCGTACACATCTGAGGGGAACCCGGGGAGTCGCGGGTACTCTTGGATCAAAAACAATGGTGCCCTGCCTCGAGACCGGCCTTGCGCTGGTGTGAAGTGTACGCATGACATCAGAAGATCCGATTCCGCTCGACCAAGACCCTACACAGAGCTGGATCGGCGTTGCACACTCTGGGGGGTTATGTACTCTTGATAATAATAATACCTACATACATTACAGCAGCTTTCTTCAGCACTTACCTTCTGTGCAGTTAGGTCCATCTAGTCTGGCCGTACATTCGCATACTTTGTTCTTTTTCACCCACGGGTGCGTACACACAACTGCATCACACATCGCAAGGAAGGGGAAGAAGAGGAAGAGAGTGAATCAGCCAGACATGAAGTCAGACAGACTAAGGTTGCATTTGGTTGGGCAATTCCAGAATGATATTGACCACCCATGATTCTGGAATGTTAATGATAGCTTGCATGCCGTCCTACCGGTAAGACCACGGGTATTACCGGTAGAACCCAAGAAATCGCGCTGCAAAAGTGCTGTTGCTTGAGAATCTTGTTGAAACAATTGTTGAGATGAGGTCCTTGTAGGACAAAGTAATGGCGCAAATGCAAGACTATATCCAGGGCATTGCATATGTGCAATTTTATCAATTGTCAAAATGGGCGCCCATGTTTCTGTCGGAGCGCTTGCAACTCCGTCCAAAGTGAATTTCGACCTATTCGGCATATCGATTGCCGTTGCAGTGGAATGCAAAATTCCACACCCTGTTTCCATGGTTACCATGGACTGTTGCCATAGAATTTCTTATATGCCTTGTACGATCACGTCCAAAATGCGTGGACTCCTTCATTAGTGAGTCAAAGTACTTCTCAGTGCATGATTAGAAAATCCCAAGGGAACTGAAAAAGAATACTTGAAGAAAACTAAATCTCTTCTACTTAAATCTCTTCTACTTACCGAGTTGGCACTTGTCTCCGGTGAATCCTTTCGGGCAGCTGCATTCACCTTTGTTGTCACACCGACCCTGATTCAAGCACTTGCATGCTGCAACGCCCATCAATAAACGCATGCACGGAGTGGCATAGATAAATGCACGGGATGTTACTCTATGCTTAGTGGAAATCGAGACAATTATCATTTAGTCAGAACTAGGTCTCAAACATTTGACTGAGGTGGGCATGATCGACAGGGCGAATCCCGAGCAAGTGCGTTCCGAGCAAGTGCGTGATCAATTGGCCTGATCTGGCCGTATCCGGGAGTCGCTGGAGTGGAAATGGACGTTGGCGTTTTTGGCAGCCTTCACAGAATTTTTGTACGACATGCGTGCATTTTGCGTACTACACCGTTGCTTTGTTCGATTGGGCCAGTGTTGCTCAGACTGTACTGCCTGCTCGCACTCAATCAATGACACCTTTGAGCACGAGTTAACACATTATAAGAACCAATTAGCCGTAGGCAATGTCAGCCATCTCCAGCAAATGCTTCATCCAAGGTACAAGGCTTTCCATGACTTTCACATGCGCATTCTCAGATAAAAACAAAACGAAAACCCGAATGGCTCGGTGTCTTACCCTTTTCACAATATTGACCATAGGTTGAGGTGCGGTTGCATACACAACTCAGGTTTGGTCCAAGAAAACCGGTCTCACAGGTCTCTGTGCAGAACAGGACAACAAAAAGTCAATTGCATTACTCTCTAAAGGCCGAATACAACTTTCTGCGACGCAACACGCGATTTGCGACAGTTGCGACAAGAATCTGCCTGTCGTGAGCTGTCGCAAGCTGTCCATTGTGCGTACAAGAAATGCTTGAATACGATGTTTGCACATAGCAAGGTCACATCGTACATGGTGGCACATTATTAGCACAAACCCTGTTCGCACAGTTCACGCTGGCACAGGACACATGTTACACAAATGCACAACAGTCCTCATCGTGCTGATGTCACACACAAGGGCAGAGCACTACTTGCGCATGGTCAGCCATTTAAGAAGCCTTGTCTCACTTACTGACACAGAGAATCTGGGCTTGAGTTTTTTTTGTGGCATTCTGAAACGTCTGCTTTTGCGCGCTAAATGTTACGGTTCTGTGAAGGGAACTTCCATTGGCTCGGATTGACGCGACGTGGTAAGGTGCTTGCTTGTGCTTATGCAGTAAGGCCAATGTCCCTAGCCAGCGCTCTGTTAACACATGGCCATGTTCTTGTAGCCAATCCTTGGTAATGAGATGAAATCCGTGCTCCTGACATGCGTCCTCTGCAAACCGCTCAGTCACCCTGGGTCTGAGTGCTGGAGTTGCTGCGGCGTATACAGAATCGTTGGCATGGAGCCATTTGGCTGCAAAACAAGGGCATATACAGTTGCGGGTAGAAACATCATGAAACAAATCATGAAACAAATCTATGAATAAGGGGGGATTGAAATCAAGCGCCCCGCTCCATGACACTAGGGCTGAAACGAACATAAAATTTGAGTATTCGAACGTTCTTGATGTTAACGAACGAACGAACGAACATTCTCTAACATTCTCGTCGCACGTGCGTACTCGCGCACGAACCGGCATAGGCAAGAAAATAGTGGAATTTTTGAATACAGTATAGCAATAAACTTTTGTGGCACACAAATTTTGCGTTTTCATGAATGCGGCTGGTTTGTGATGAGAATATTTTGCGATTTTTACCTCTTTTTTAATCATGTAGTTGTGCTGTCTACAATGCACGTACGTGCTGAGCAGTTTGTGGCGATTTTTCTTCTCCAGAATGCGCAATGGCTGCAAAAGTAGCAAAATTTAATCACTTGCGAAAGTTTCCAACTTTACAGTACGTCTTTCAAAAGTTGAGGCACAATAGCCTCCAACTCAGCAACACCATACTGAGGACCAGAACGTTGCGTCACAGCAACGTTTGTCATCAACTACTTGCTTCATGTTCAGTGTTGATGCCGTGGAAATAACTGCACTCCCAGAGACGACAGAAGAATGCTGAAAGTTACCGTAGTTGTGTTCTCAGGTGAGCATAGAGGTTGCTCGCCGTTTTGCCATACTAAACACACGCTGCGGGAAATCCTGCAGGTAGCTGACTTCTCATCCTAGGATTTGGTAAACTGATCCCAAACAACATGTTTTTAGGGGTTTATCGTACCGTACGCACATTCTCAAAGTTCGAATGTTCGTGAGAACTACGAATGTTCGTTCGCTGTGGCCTAACGAACGAATATTCGAATTGCTGTACCAAACAAGTGATTTACGAAGGCATGGTCTCCAGAAAAGCATGCTCTCTCCAAGCACCAGCTTTCGGTGTCCCAAAGGGGGAGGTGGGTGCTAAAACACAGGTATGAATCGGTTCGGAACCATAAAAGTAGATGTTGAGCATGCATATCAAAGAAACACACGTATTCACTTACTATGCTGACACTGGTCTCCATGGAAACCTTTCCGGCAGATGCAGGTGCCATCTTCAGTACACTGACCGTGATTCAAGCAATTGCACACTGCAGCAGTGATTGGGAATGTTCACATATTTCCCAAAACATACGAATAGGAACAGAACATCATAGCACATTGGATTCTCAAGTCGTTGTTGCCTGTATCTTGATCATCATGACATTGTATAAACCTCAACATCGCTACTACCACGACCACTAAGGGTGCATTCGGAAAAGTTGGAGACTCTCCGAAATGTTGAGAGCTGTTCTTATATCCTGTCCGAATTTAGGAGGCTCTCCAAAGCTCTCCAAGCTTCAGAGGTGGTTTGGGATCAGCGCATGCGAACTAGGCGTGTTGATCATGAGTGTACGCATTTCCCTGTTCACATACGCACAGCGCATACTATATTCGTGGCACTCAAGATCGCGGCCCGTTTGGCGCTTCGTTTTGCTCGACACGTGCAAAATATCTCCGAATTCTTCGAGACCCGTTCTTGAAGTATCCCAGTTTCTTCGACTTCTCTTTTCTTCTACTCCTAGAAGCTAGAGAATATAAGAACGCACACTAACACTCATTCACCAATCCCAGGTATATCCAACTTGTAATCAATTCTTGCACTTTGGTAGAACAATTGTTCACTTGACAGTAGTTGATAAGCTGCAGTACCAGGCATAAATGCTGGCAAGTACCTTTTTTCTTATTCTTTTATTCCTTTCCAGCAGGCGGGTACATTATATTCTTTGACACGCTGGTTAAAATGACAGCAGCTTTCTTTAGCCCTTACCTTCTATGCAGGTGGGTCCATCTAGTTTGGGTTTACATTCACATTCTTTGTTCTTTTTCACCCAGGGATGTGTACACACAGCTGCAATACATACCACACACAGAATAGAAACACAAAGAGCGGATCAGCCTTACACAAAAATGGACAGACAAAATGACGGACAGAGAGAGATAAAAACTATGAGGAACTAACCCCCCCCCCCCCCCACACACACACACATACACATGCACCAACAGCTCTTGATCTCCTCGACACTGTAGCTAAGACAAGTATCACATGAGACCTACGTAACGTCACTGGTCCAACACATGGCACTACTCTGGGCATGCCGAGTAAGGGGAGAATGCGTAGAGCAAGAACAGAGTACATGTCCTATGCTTCTAGTTTACTGAATGCTTATCAATGACTGAGACCAAACATACATTACATCATGAATCATACACATTATTAGATACAGTTCAGTGGGACTACCACAACGATACCAGTAGGGCCCTTAGGGTGTTATCCAGCAGAAAACAGCACAAACATTAGTAGCAAAAACATTACGGACAAGTATTGAAAAAATCGTATGGCCAAATGGGCAAAAAAAATACCTTGACAACTGCCAATGTTCTGCCAGGATACAAATGCATCTTGGCAAACAGGCAGCGACCCATTGTGATAGTGTCCATCGTTGCATGTTACTGTGCCACTAGCCGACACCGAGGCAATGTTGTGACCACTACCATCAACCGTACAGGCTAATCATAAACAGGAATCACAAAGAAGGTGTATACACACATGAGAAAAGCTAGCAAAACACAACCAGCACAGGACAATTATCAAAATACACAACCATTCCAGGTGCAAGTCAGCGTACCTCAGTGCTATTTATCACCATTTCAACAAGTCTCCAAAAAATCACCTCTTGTTAGCGCACTTCAAATGTACATCTCTGAGGTACACATTCTCACGTGTGCATATGTAAGAGCAAACAAGTAGGCCAGCATGCAGTGTGCAGCAGGAGTCATACCTTGACAAGCTGGTATTGATCCAAAATCAGCGACATCACTCGAGACGGAACAACTTAGCACGTTGCTCGTGCCTGTTGAAAGCCGATATCCCTGATTGCACTTATACACAGCTGAAGAGTAAAACTTTTCTGAAGAGTCAGAAACAGCAACTTGAATTCCCGGATTCACAACACCATTGGTGATTGCTGCTGGCTCGCTGCACAAAGCTGCAAAGTACAAAGATTGCCCGAATACATGCCATTAATTATTATATTGCAGTACAATGGTGCTGATTTGAACCTCAATATTCCGGCAAGTAACTTCTAACTATCCAAAACTGTATGTTAATTAAACCCAATATCATGTATGTCAGATTGAAATAAGCAAGACCTTCAAATTAAATTTGAAAGCATTGGGACACCTTTAAATTCAAAGGATAAATCAGGGAAGTGAACTGCCTGAAAGGTTCGAGTCCTGGTGAGGTTGGCATTCTTTTCTCTTTCCAGACAGTTCACTTCCCCGACTGATCCTTTGAACCTTCAAAACCATAATTTGAATTATTAGTACTGTAAATCAACAAACTTTCTACCAGACTCGGAGAGAGACAGCATAAAAATGGACTACAGTCTATTCATTGGAAACTGGCACCCCAACTTTCTGGTGTCTCTCTCACATAGTTGTAGATATCGTGAAAACAACAGTACATCCTGCGTTGTGTGACCCGTGCAATTACTCCTTGCCACATTTTGAGGCCAGAAAAGTCCAAGAACAGGGAAATAGAAATTCAGCCAGGTTTTACAAAATTAGGACAGGTATAACATGGCAAAATGTATGGAGAAGCAGATCCAAAACCCAGATTTTTGAGACTTTTGATCCTCAATTCGGCCCAAATCCGACTTTCAAAAGCCAGCGGGCCAGTTCCCAATGAATGGACTGTTGAAGGAGCCATTGGTAATGTTACAACGACAGCCGTGACTGTAGTATACACCTCGATGTTCTAATGGCTACTACTCAGAAGTGTCACAGGTAAATAATGGAGTGATCATATGCAATTATTTAATCAAAACGATGGTTGGATGTTACAGAAACCCCTGGAAACAGGAGCTGGACGTTGCAGGAACCTCGCATTTCGCTTCACAAGAGTCTCAAAGTGAAAACAGCCTTGCAATTAAGAGTGTCTAAAACTGATGGAGGCAAAAACTGCAGTGAACTCATGGTACGGAATCATACCTGATGATTAACACCAATCGAAAGAAGAGAAACAAAAAATACGTTATCGGCAAGCCACCACAGGTGTGCTGCCCTCTTATGTAACAAGGAAGAGAAGGACGTATATAAAATATACCTCTGCAGTTTCCAACTCCTTCCCAATTGCCAGTTGCTGAGTTCTTGGGGCATGTAGCAACTGAGTTGCCCTCAACACGTGTATAGCCAGTTGCACAGGTTACTTGGCCAGTAGTTCTGTTAACACTGGCGATGTTCAATTCATGGAAGTTACAACCTGAAGAGAAAAAAACGCAAAACAAATACCAGTAAGGCAACGTGGAGCCAATAATCTCAATAGTGCAATGAATAAAACTACAGGCGCACTCATAATAAATCACAATCATGGCAATGAATAAATTGTTCCAGAACCAGTTAGTTGTAGAACGTCAGTACTGTCGGTCAGTGTCGTGCTATGTTATCGCATGAGCTGATTGTTTAGTACCCGGCGGTGATAGTGGACATCATAGCGTAACTTGAGGTTCCCTGGTCCTTTTTTATTTTCTATAAAGAACATTTTCTCATCAAAATATTATTATCAATGGAAACTCGTGACTGAAGATAGTATCAAAATAACAAAAGGATTTAGACGCTTAGGGCATGATCGATTGGGCGAATCCTGAGCAAGTGTGCTCAGAGTGAGCGGGATCGTTTGGTCGAATCCGACCAAATCAGGAGTAGGTGTACTTAGAGTGGAATCCGACCACACCGGCCCACACACCGGGAGTGGCTGGTGTGGAAATGGACTTTGCTGTTCCTGGACAGCTTTCACAGAATCTTTGTACGATATGCGTACATTTTGCGTACTACACCCTTGTTTGGTTTGGGCCAGCGTTGCTCGGACCACACCGCCTGCTCGCACTCAATCCAGATTCGCCAATCGATGACACGCTTAGAGTGACAAAAATAAGGATACGAGTAAATATGTGGCACATGATGGAAAAGAGAATATCCTGGTAAGTGAGAGTTCCCATAGATAATTGTGACGAGAAAACGTTCTGGACTAGTTTATTCGCTGCTATTATTGTGATATGAGTGAGCTAATTAGTTTTATTCATTGCATTATTGAAATGGAAGTAAAACTCACCAATCTGGCAAGATAGCAGAATCGTTGCAACAAAAGTTCAGACAAACGATTAACTGCTGACGAATTACGTTAGTACAGTCAAACCTCTTTAGCCCGAACACTAATAAACCGAACTTTCCATTAGTACGAACTAGGGCCAATCCTATGGTTGGCCAGGTATCAAATCAAGTCGAAATTATTTGTCAATGACAAACTCCTGAACGATGATCTATTTTCAAACGTGGTTTGAACAAACTGCTGACGAAACACGTTAGTAACTTAGTACCACAAGCAATCAGTCAGTCTGAAGCTCCTATCCCATGCAATGCGTACAACTCCTCACCCTGACAAGAGATTCCATTTCCATAGAAACCATCGTTGCAAGCGCATGAGAATGATCCAAGAGTGTTTATGCAGGCTGCTGATGAGTCACAGTTATGTGCAGCGGATGCACATTCATCGAAATCTGTCATAGGAAAAATTGTAAAAAAGAACATAATTTTACACTGCACAGAAACACACACTTCCATATTAACATATTAATTATTATTATTATTATACTGATACAGGTGAACCGACACTGCATAGTTGGTAGGCAGCTGCCATCTACAATGGAAGTTTGGCTATGAATTAAGTTCCATAGGTAAGCACCAATGAAAACATAAAAACAATATGCAATTGCTCGCCATCACATGTAGGTCAAAATCAGACATCAGGAAAATAGCAGGTTTGGTGTTGCAACTGCGTTCTGTTTTCTTATTTCGAGCAAGCACTTGATGAAACCATTTGTTCATTCTGTCAACTTTCACTCAGAGTCGAAATGATAACAAGACCTACACAATCAAGGCCACTCGCAATAGCTCCGAAGCCTACACACTCAGTCAGGGAGGCCACGTCAACTTGGAGGTATGCTCTGAGAATCCCATACGCACTGTAACAAAATATTCATGTATACTTACCCGTTTGGCACTTGTTCCCGGTAAATTCTTTCGGGCATGTGCATTTGCCCTTGTCGTCACACTGACCCTGGTTCAAACACTTACATCCTGCAGCATCCATCGCATACGCACAAAGTGACACAGAGAAAATGTGAATGCATGGGACGTTAGGGGTCGGCCGTAAGAACTGATATTTATCACACACACGCACGCACGCACGCACACACGCTCACGCCCACGCCCACGCACACACACACACACACATACACACACACACACATATGTACGAAATACAGCGCTCCTGACCCTGACTGGCGCTGGCACTACTACGTTACACTTATCATGATCTTACTTACTGACACAGAGGATTTGGGCTCTGTCATTGCTTCTGGTGCGGTGAAAATCTTGATTGTTCTCGCTAAATGTTACGGTTCTGTAAAGGGAATCACCATCGAACCGGATTGCCTTGACGTGGTAAGCGGCTTGGTCACGTTCATGCTTCAGAGCCAACCTCTTGAGCCCGCGCTCTCTTAATACATGGCCATGTGCTCGCAGCCAGTCTTCGGTTATGAGGTGAAGTCCGTACTGCTGACATGCCTCCTCTGCGAACGGCTCGGTGACAATACGTCTGGATGCTGGGGTTGCTGCGGTATATGCTGAGTTGTTGGCGTGAAGCCACTTGGCTGCAAGACAAGGGCACATCCAGTGGTGGGTAGAAAATACATATACGCAATATGAATAAAGGGTGCACTGGAATGCAACCGGATAAATCAGTGTAATTGTTTTTCCTTATTCCGAGCCAGGTTAAGGTATCGGTCAATATTTGCAGGCATGGGGCTGGGAAGACTTCATGGAGCAGCACCGTGCCATAGTTGCAAATCACCCAGCGAGTATGCCAGGAGTACATAACCCCCAGAGTGTGCAACTGCCACATACCCTGCTGTCCCAACAGACTTTCAAGTTGCTCCTTGCACCAGTGATGTACAACATGTGTACGGGTGTCAATGCATCACACCGTTTTCCTTGCAAAACAATTGTACAGGATCAGATAGGCTTTGGTTCATCGTCAACTTGAAACTCTTTGGGGATTGTGTACTCTTGGTTATACCAAAGGAGTGGAAAAATATTGGCAAGAGTACAAAGAAAAACATGTGATGCGTTGACACTCGTACAAATGTTGTTAATCACTGGTGCAAGAAGCATTGCATCATATTAATCATGTAAACTTGAAATTCTGTCGGCACAGCAGGGTATGAGGGAGTTGCACACTCTGCGGGTTATGTACTCTTGATGTCGGGTTATTACACAAGTGTGTTCACCTCATGACCTTGCTCGTTCCTCATTTCTTTGGTCAAATTGGGCTATGCGAAGGCTACCCAATTACGTTATGCGGAACCTCTCTAATAACAATACTCGAATATTCGAACATGATTCGTTCGGTTTGTCGCATTCGAATATTCTCGAAGTCGCATTCAAGTACTTGTGGCGTCACTTTGAATGCAGTGCATGTACATACATGCACGCCAAACACAGCACAGTGCAGTGTGTACAGCCCGCCTGTGATTTTGTACTGCATGTTTGCACATGTATGTGCATACTGGACTGCCAATGTTGCACATAAGATTTCGAAGTAGCCTTATGTGGCAGTGCATTTTTATGTGGCACTAACGTTTGTCATACCTAATAACAAGAGTACATAACCCCCAGTGTGTGCAACTCCCACATACCCTGCTGTCCTGGCAAAATTTCAAGTTGGCGTCATTATTTATGACGCAATGCTCCTTGCACCAGTGATTTACAACATGTGCACGGGTGTCAACGCATCACACGTTTTTCTTTGCAATGATTTGCACAGGATCAGATCGGCTTGGGTCAACCACAGGTTCCGGATTCGTCTGATAATCCGTGTACAGTGTGCATTGCATCATCAAAATGATGTCAACTTGAAATTCTGTCTGGACAGCACCCATAGTCGAGTTGCACACTCTTGGGTTATGTACTCTTGACAGCACCCATAGTCGAGTTGCACACTCTGGGGGGTTATGTACTCTTGCTAATAATAATCACATGAAATGTTTCTCCGCACATGTGGTCAGTTGGCTACTCATGTGTGGATCTGACCCTGGCTAGAACCGTAGGTTTCCCATTGACGCTCTTGCTCTCTGTTTCAGTCCTCTAATATTGTCAATATCATTGTCTACTCTAACCACCCATTGCTGGCTACTTTCTATCACAATGCAACAGCATACCTTCGCAGATGACATCATGATGGCCTGCTCCGGTTCTATCATGTACCTCTTCTCTTAAGCCGTTCTTGCCCTGCTTGTACAAGACATGCATCTTGGTACTATCCCTCAACTCTCTCAAGAAAGATGTCCATATTGTGATAGGGCTCTTGAAACTGCTCTCCATCATCTCGTTGAGCAAGGCTTCCATGCAGTCGCGCACGTTCAGAGACCGGTTTGTGAAGGCATGAAATTCGACCACGTCGTATCCTCTTCTCTTGCACATCTGGCGGGCATGCGTCAAGTTCGTTTTCTTCTGGCAGCTGTCACCGTCCAGGTGTGGATGACACGGCAAGCTGGCGAGAGCCATCCAGTTGTAGGTTGCGTTATCTGTACCCAGGCACTTCGTCTTAAAAGCTGAACATAACACAGTACACATGCAAAGTACATTCTTGTACAGTAGAAGTAGTAGTAGTAGCAGAAGTAGTAGAAGTAGCAGTAGTAGCAGTAGCAGCAGTAGCAGTAGTAGCAGTAGCAGTAGCAGCAGCAGCAGCAGCAGCAGCAGCCGCAGTAGCAGCCGCAGCAGCAGCAGCAGCAGAATGTGAAGCAGCAGCAGCAGAATGTGAAGCAGCAGCAGCAGCAGCAGCAGCAGCAGTAGTAGTAGAAATAGTAGTAGTAGTAGTTTTTATTATTTTTCTTGGGTATACCAAACAGGCCTATGGCCTTCTTACAGGGTGCCTAAGGAGAAATTGTGAGCAGCTAGCGCGAAAGCAGGCAAAGTACGCTGGGATGGAATGATAGCGGGTAGTGCATTAAAGCGGTAAAAACTAAGAAAACTAATGGGAGACTGTAAAGGCCTGGCCGGGACATGAGTGGGGGAAGAAAGATACTACTGAATGTTTGGCCTCTGGTTTGGGAGGTAGTGTGGGTAGCATCATTTCGGGTCGTGAAGATTTGGGAGATGAGGGGACTGCCAAGGGACCTGATTCACCGAAAAGTAAAAATGAAAAGCTTAAGAGTGAGGCGTAGGCTGAGTGGGTGGAGTTACAGTAGAGCATGACTGGAGTACACACTCTATTAAGACATATACTGCCCCCCCCCCTATTGATACCGTAGTCCATTTCAAGTATATCCGTGTTTATCTGAGTAAAATGCACATCCCCTGAGCATAATTTTCACATTTCGCAGCTGCATGTGTTTCAAAGAAACATGCATAATTATACACTTCATTCAGAAGTTACTTACTCTGCTGACACAGGTCTCCATGGAAACCTTTCTGGCAGACGCAGGTACCGTCTTCAGCGCACTTCCCATGATTCAAGCAATGGCATACTGCAGTAGAGATTGGGTGCATTCACGTATTTCCCAAAACAGAGATAGGAACAGACCACCATACAATATCAGACCCTAAAGAAGTTAGTATCACCAACTCAAACCCATAATAAATAATATGGTATCTATTATTGCACGTAAATAGCACAAAATAGGTTGGAGGTTTGAGTTTGCACCACCGAGATAAGAGAGAAAAATTTTCCTTACAATGATGAGTATGATTCTAGAAATTGTAAATATACCCATGGGTCATACACTCGTTGGCACGCGGCCTAAAATGACAGCAGCTTTCTTTTCCCCTTATAATTCAAGACTATTACAGCTGTTTTTTTAGCCCTTACCTTCTGTGCAATTAGGTCCATCTAGTCTGGGTTTACATTCACATTCTTTGTTCTTTTTCACCCAGGGATTCGTGCACACAACTGCATCGCATATCACACACCGAGGGGAAAGAAAAAAGGAGAGCAAATCAGCCAGACACAAAATGGACAGACAAAAGACTGAGAGACAAATAGATGTTTTACTCAGTAGGCAGCCATTGTCCTATAAACAGTCAGAAGTCCAGTAGGGAGTCGAACTCATCATACCGTCATATTTGCACGACTTCGTTAAACGCGGGCGACTTTCTCTGTAGAAAGTCTACACATTTCCACAGTTCGACACATTTCCAGTGCGCAGTCTGAGTTTTCGTCAACTTGGATCATGTGCCCACTTCATCCATCAGCCATGGACTGGGTGCAGAATAGCCTGAACTTCGCACCAGCACTCAATGCAAGACAGAGCAGCTATAACGACAGTCGGAGTCTTGGAGTCTGCGTTTGAGCCGCTCACACGCGGAGCTGAAGCCAGTGGAAAGGACACCATCGCCAGCTAGTCGACATTCTGGCATAACTTGACGTAGCGTGGAGGCCAGCCATCCCTTCGGTGCAAATACAAAGCTGCACGCATAGCACTGGTGTACAGCAACGGAGACGGTTTAAACTCATTGGTCTTTACTTCATTGGTTTGAGGGAAAGATGTAAATGGGAACAGTCTGGAGAAAACATTGACCATCACCACCAGGACTCGAGCCAGTGACCGCTTTGGTCTTTTCTTCTGCTTCAAGGCAATCTAAAGTCTGTAGTCTTGGCTGCTGCAATATTAGATTGCGTTTGGTTGGGCATTGTGATTTTGTACTGCATGTTTGCACATGTATGTGCATTCTGGAATGGGAATGGGTAAGAATCACCTGACTAAACAAACGCGCCAGAATCAACTAGGAATCACTTGACATAACAATTCCATAATGTCGTTGTGGAACGGCGGCTCTCTTCACTTTTCCTTGGCAGAGTCAAGGTACTCCCGAGTGCATGATTTGAGGCACTTGAACCTGATGCTGCTAGTATTCCTAGCAAGAACTTGAGCAAAATGGGGTTCTGCTTTCTTCACACATAGTTGAAACACAGACAAAGGCTGCATACTCAGGGTCACTCGACACAGCTCCGAAAAATCGCGGCGCAAAAGTGCTTTTTGTCGGGGAATTTTCTGGAAACAATTGTTGATGTTAGGTCTTTATAAGGCACAGTAATGGTGCAAAATTCAAGACTATGTCCAGAGCATTGCATACTGTAAAAGCAGAAATTTTCGGTGGTGTTTTATTTTCGGTAACTTCGGTGTCGACAATTTCTACCGAAAATAAAACGCACCGAAAATTTCGGTACAACCGGTACTGTATACATTTAGTACTAGTACATCTACCTGGAAAACGGGTTTTACCGAAAATTTCTCTCTACCGAACCGCCGATTTTGGTGAATACCGAAAATATTACACCACCGAAAATTTCTGCTTTTACAGTATGTGCCATTTTATCAATTGTCAAAATGGCCGCCTATGCTCCTGTTGGAGCTCTAGAGACACTGTCCAAAGTGAATCGTGGCGAAGACCTAATGTTTTCATTACGACATTAGCCTGCCAAGGCAGTGGAATGCAAAAATCCATAGTACGTTTCCATGGTTACCATGGGCTATTTCCATGGAATTTCATAGTATACCTTCTGCGATCACGTCTAAAATCTGTGGACTCCTTCATTAATCCCATAGCAACAGTTTAGGGTCAGGTTTTAGGTCAGCTTCATAACTGTGCAGCATGTCTCTGTATGATGGCCCTACCGGTAGGTCCTACGGGTAGGACCGAGGTCTATGCAAGCTATCAATTATGTTATACAAATTTTGGCTCAGCTTATCTTTTCAATTGTTTTATTAAACAATTATTCGTTGGTTTTTGAAACGGAAACGGCTCACGCAGTCACTGGATGCCACGTCAACATGGAGGTATGCTTCGGGAAGAGCTGTAAGCATTCATACTTACCCAATTGGCACTTGTTCCCGGTAAATTCTTTCGGGCAGATGCATTTACCCTTGTCGTCACAATGACCTTGATTCAAACAGTTGCATGCTGCATCAGCCATCGCATACGCACAAACAAGACGTGAGACAGAGGAAATGATGGTATGTTATAGGCTACTCATACTACGTTACAATACGCGTGACGTTTTGGAGCACGACGTTCTGGCATACGTCGTTTTCATGCAGGTGCATTCACACAGGCACTCACATGCTGCTCAAACAGCTGCGTGTTCAGCTTCTTTTAGACACAAACTGCTGGGAACGACAGAACAAAACTCGGTACAGGAGTCTGGATACGTCGTCTACGATTTCGTACCAGAGGTACGATTTTCCCGCCACGTTCCATGTTGTCATGACTATCCGGACGAAAACGTCACGTACGCCACGTTCTGGGCGTAGTGTGAATGGCCCATTAGGGGCCGGCCGTAAGTATCGATATTTACGACTCAAACCCACCCTATACCCCTCCTCTCAGAACGTGCATATACAGCACCCTGTCACGCGTGTGTCAATGCTCCTACTTCTCTGGACATGTTTCAATGTATCCTGAAAGGAAATTGGTCAACCCGTCCCAGCTCATAACAGAAATAATTTGTATTCAAAAGATTAACCCTTGATATCTACGAATGAATATAGTGAAATTTGACCACACAAAATGACCGAGCAGCTGACACAGAGAAAATGCAAGCAAGCGGTCACGTGTTCATGCGTACTCGTACACGAGTCATATGGTCACCATGCCAGCAGGGCCAGTGCATGCTACAGCTTTCACACCAAGGTTCAAATTAAAGGTTCAAAGGTGCAACTCGAGTGACAGGAACGCTGTCAACGGCGTAGCCTGCAGGCATGGCAAACAGGTGACTGGTGTACGCAAGAGCACGTGACCGCTTACTTACCCTTGATGGATTGATGGATTGGGAATAGACACCCTTATCAAAATTAATAACGGTATTTTTACGATACTCGCACCTTCATCACCCAAATAGCGCTGAAGCTGCAACCTTAAAACGTTATGGAGGCTGATTTGTCGCTGTGACAAACGGTATGCTTTTTGGCCAAATGTTGCATAGTCTGTACCCATTTCACCTTGTATCACGTATATGATGACATAAATGGTTGTACCACGCGCGCGCGCGCGCGCGCGCGAAACGAGAGAGCTTGGAAGCTCAGGGCCCTACGCTATGCTTTTTTGCCTTGATGACCTAGACAAAAAAAAGCATAGGGATGTTCGTGAGAACTTTGAATGTTCGTACGCTGTGGCCTAATGTTTTAAAAAAAAATCCATTTTTTAAGACATAACCTGGGATTCGAACCCGCACTATCGCGTGCCCTGCATGCATCCCCCGATACACTTCGCATACATACTTCATAATTCTTCCAAGTTGTTTCACATTGTGATCTTGCATTTGAAAGACCTATTTGAATATGCATTGTGGCCAGCCGTCTTTGATGGCACGCTACGGTAGGGGATAGGTACGGGACAGGTAAGATCGAGGGTAATACGACGTCTCCCGTACCGTACCATCAAACACAGCTGGCCACATACAGCTGCCCGCAATATTCAAATAGGGCTTTCAAACGCAAGATAATAACGTGAAGCAACTTGGAAGAATGGGTATGAATGCGAAGTGTATGGGGGATTGCATGTAGGGGGGATAGTGCGGGTTCGAATCCCAGGATATGCCTTAAAAAAAATAGGAGAATTGAAAAAATTATAACATCCTATGCTTTTTTGCCGTCAGATACGGATAGCGCCAGGCGTGACACAAACAAACAAACAAACAAACACACACACAAATACCAAATTAAAGCTGTGTGGACCCTGGCTAGCGCCAGACGTTACTGAAGTAACGTCTTCTGCATAGCTACGGGAATAAAAGCTATTCTCGTGGCAACAGCATACTAAAAATAGCGTGCATCTTGCTAAAGGTCTAACCCAGATCCCGGTATTTTCCCGCTTGCGGTAATACCATTACAACATAACGTTTTTTGCTAAGGGCCTGGTCAGAAACGAAAAAATCCTGTGATTATGATCCGAATCTCCATAGTAACTTGCCGCCAGAGCGGCAATACCATGCTTTGCTGCTCCAAACAGGAGTTTGACGCTGATACGCCATTGACGCTGATATTCACTGATTTTTTCATCTCGATATCGAGGAGCTAATTTGGCCACGGACAACAACAAAACTCATATGCATGGTTGCAAGGTGTTGGCGATCCCCAAGGTAAAGGAATTTGACGTCGATCGCAATTCCAAATTCTGGACGCTTTTCTTTTTTCGTCAGGCAACCAGTCTGACCAGGCCCTACGGGTATCTGTCTAATAAGGGCCGAACGCTGCACCGCAGCCTTTTCGGACCAAAACCAGTCTACTCAGCGCCCAAAAGACTACAACATATGGGCCAATTGCGGTCATCCGCGCTTTTAGAATCCCCATCTAGTAGGGCGCACTCACCCAGTTTTGTTGGAAGTGCGCGAATTCGATTGGGAATAAAGGAGGAAGGGAGCGTCTCAGCTTCCTCGGACCAAGACCATTCGACCCAGAGCACCCCGAAGACTACAACTGGTGAAAATGTGATTCAGGATTCAGCGTATACTTCCCTTTAAAAACGGTCATTACAGGGTGGGGGGGGGGGGAGGCTATTATTCCAGAGAAGACTTCTGATCGTGTGAGCGTAGTAGCATTCAAGTTGTGAGAATTCTCAATGAAATACACGGAGTTGTATGTGAAACTGCTGGCTACACACACGTCAGGCATTACACACTCCATCTAGCTATAAATAGTGGTCACATTACACTGACGGTATCCCAACTCTTTAATTACCAGATTTTGTATGCTTCGATCTATTTCCTTAGCCTATCCTCGATTAACTGCTCCCTCTACATAAAGTTTTCATTTCATTCTTCTTGCAGGAGATCCCCTCGACAAGCCCAAAGCCTTTGGGAAATCCAAATATAATAAAATTCAAATACATCTGGCAGATCTCCGCTGTTTTCCCGCTATCATGTTAGTGTTCTTCACCTTCTCTAAAATGGGTGTACTCAGATTATCAAACACGCGCACGCTTGCACACACACACACACATACACACACACACGAATTTTAAGGCCTGCTGTCTTACCCTTTTCACATCGTTCGCCGTAGGATGTGGTGCGGTTACACACACAACTCATGTTTGCTGCAACACCATTGTTCTCACAGAATTCTGTGCAGAAAAAGAATACGAGCAGCTCAATTGCGTTACTCTTCTACAGTTTATGAAAGTAGAATGCCAATTATCTAAATGATTGCTTATCCAAAAACGTGCTGTTCAAGACATTTGTGTTATGTTCCCTGACGGAAAAGCATTCTCTCGTTGAATCCTTATACATGCTCCCTAAAACGATCAGTCAAAGGAGGTTTCTTCGTTAGGTATTCCCACCAACAACAACAATCAAAATTTGAGCATGCACAATGCATGGTATGATATGGGGGGCAGGGGAGAGGGCAAGGACTTTTGCTACAAGGACATGTTTGAAAAGGACATGTTGAAGCAAGACACAGGGATAAGGGACAGGGAATGGCTATACTGCATGCGCATAGCCAGTCATTTATTATCGCCTCACTTACTGACACAGAGGATCCGGGCTTGCTCATCGCTTGGGGCGTTGTGAATCGTATGACTTCCGCTGCTAAACGTTACGGTTCTGTAATGGTGTTCGCCATCCGCCGAGATTGGTTCGACGTGGAAGGGCTTGGTGCCGTGATGAGGGTTATGCTCTATAGGCAATCGTTGTAGCCAGCGCTCTCTGAATACATGGCCATGTGCTTGCAGCCAGTCCACGGTTATAAAGTTTAGTCCGTACTGCTGACAAGCTTCACGCGCAAAAGGCTGGGTAACGGCACGTCTCGATGCCGGTGTTGCTGCGACGTATGCTGAGGAGAAAGCATGAATCCATTTAGCTGCAGGACAACAGACAGGTATAGAGGCATTTGGAGAAACATTAAAAAAGCACAGCAGGAAGCAAGCCTGAAGAATGGGCTTCCTGGAAATTGCTGGCACGTTCCATGAATTTCGACATAATGGATAGGTCAGGCCCCCGAAACAGTGCATACCGTATTAATTAGAAAAGCAATCCTGTCAGCTTTTCTATTATTGTGGTCACAATGCAAGACCAAACGGCACCGATATTTGACACGTTGTCTACGTAAGTTTTTACGTAAGGTGCTTGGTACGTACCTGGACCAGGGAGCACTACTCCATGGCTTGTACCATCGCGTGGCCGGTGGCGTGCGTGTGCATGGCAGACATTTTTTTTGTAATCCGTTTTCTCAGTTTTACGCACTACGCCATTTCCCGCCTCAGATCTCCGCCGTGACAGACACCCATAGTAGAAAAGGCCCCAAGCTGCACACTCTGGGGGGTTATGTACTCTAGATATCATTCATACCCACCAAAAGATGTGTAACATTTTATTATTATGGTGTGCCTTGTTTATCTATCAGTACCTCCAACCATAGCCTTGCCCCTATATCCTCAGGAGCATCAGTGTAGTTCTTGGAATAAGGTGTTCGAATCAACAATTTATTCGTTTACATTTCTATAATACATATCTATTATTCCTCCTTTGTCTCAAAATAGACAGAAGCGGAAGGGTTAGCATTTGCTGCCTTGTACGCGAACTGTTCTATTATTATTTCTCCTTTATTCACTTCTTTCGAAGGCGATAAGCCAGACCCACCGGGAAATATTTCCATGGGTGGGACAGCAAAAAAGAAAGTGAAAAAACAAAAGCAAAAATAAATAAATAAATAAAACCTAAAAACCAAAGGGACAAGAACTAGTTGAAGGAAGAGGAAGAAAGGAAAGAAACTCAATCCGAACTCCAACATCAAAACAATAATAAAGAATTTGCAGCGACAGGCAAAATACATCAACCAATGAAGGGAGTAGTAACAAAGGAAATATCAGTCTTTATCAGTCGTTATTCAAGTCTCTTAGCTATTGAACATGCAAACGCAGCAGAGGTGCATCTACATGTTAAGGATAGTTCTCAGTATTTTAATCGAACCTTGTATAGCCTCCTGTTGCACAATAGCCAGGTCTCCTCCCTGCACAGTCCGAAGGCATTGAGGAGTCTCCCCCACCAAGCCTCCCAGGGCACCGACAACCACAGGGACCACGTCAACCTGGTTGAGGGACCAAATCCTCGAAATCTCCCGCTTCAAATCATAATATTTCGAGCGCTTTTCAGCCATTTTCTTATTGATGTTGTTCTCACCAGGAACGCTGATGTCTATAATGTAGGCGATGCGCTCCTTGTCATCAACAAGGAGCAGATCGGGCCTGTTTGCTGATAGTTTCAGGTCAGTTGGGACCGAATACTCCCAATAGAGGCGATACTGATCACTCTTGACCAATGCCTTGAGCTGGTGGTCGAATCGTGAAGCACCAGTAGGTAGATCTCGTGCTTTACACATTTCGAAGTGCACATACTTTATTATTATTATTATTATTTGAACTGGTTTTGAGGGAAAGAGACATTTATTATTATTTGTATTATTATTGGCAGTAGCAGTTGGCAGTAGCGGCAAGGAATGTCAGGTCGGTTTCATTGTCACGTAATTCCAAAGTATGTACTGGTTCTAGTAGCGGTGTTAGGGTGTATGAATCTTCTGTTGCCAACCATCTTGTTCAGAATAGTGATTGTCGTTCTAGTTATGCTGATGAGTGCTTTTCTGTTTGGTCTCGTTCACGTAGTCAAAGGTATTTGCGTGTATTGGAGTCTATCTACATTTTTACCACTAAGCCGATTTTGTGTAGGCAGAAAAAGAATTTGTTTACGTTGAAATTGTTTGTGAATTTAGATCAGTAGTTCTCGTTTGTGGTAGCATGGTAACTTTCTAGTGGTGAATTTATCGCATCTGTTGTCACCTGATATCGTTGAATGGTGTAATGTTTCTTTCAGCTCTCATTTTATCGCGCTAGTTAGGGTTATGTTGTTGTCACTTTTATTATTTTCCTTAGAGTTTTGTGTCGTGCTAAACTTGATAATTTTCCACCTTGTCACGAGAGTTGTTATCTAATTATCTTTACGCTATATAAGTTTTAGTCTTTCCAACTTGAGCCATTCCCTGTATAATCCTTGATGAGAAGGGACCGAAAACGTTCGGATACTTATGACAAGTGCATTATTATTATTATTATTATTATTATTATTGCACATAAGATTTCGAAGTAGCCTTATGTGGCAGTGCATTTTTATGTGGCACTAACGTTTGTCATACCTAATAACAAGAGTACATAACCCCCAGTGTGTGCAACTCCCACATACCCTGCTGTCCTGGCAAAATTTCAAGTTGGCGTCATTATTTATGACGCAATGCTCCTTGCACCAGTGATTTACAACATGTGCACGGGTGTCAACGCATCACACGTTTTTCTTTGCAATGATTTGCACAGGATCAGATCGGCTTGGGTCAACCACAGGTTCCGGATTCGTCTGATAATCCGTGTACAGTGTGCATTGCATCATCAAAATGATGTCAACTTGAAATTCTGTCTGGACAGCACCCATAGTCGAGTTGCACACTCTGGGGGGGTTATGTACTCTTGCTAATAATAATCACATGAAATGTTTCTCTGCACATGTGGTCAGTTGGCTACTCATGTGTGGATCTGACCCTGGCTAGAACCGTAGGTTTCCCATTGACGTGAGAAACCTTGGTTGTAATCGCTCTTGCTCTCTGTTTCAGTCCTCTAATATTGTCAATATCATTGTCTACTCTAACCACCCATTGCTGGCTACTCAGCACCTCTCTCACATGTTCTTTTTCTATCACAATGCAACAGCATACCTTCGCAGATGACATCATGATGGCCTGCTCCGGTTCTATCATGTACCTCTTCTCTTAAGCCGTTCTTGCCCTGCTTGTACAAGAGATGTGTCTTGGTAGCATCCCTCAACTCTCTCAAGAAAGATGTCCATATTGTGATAGGGCTCTTGAAACTGCTCTCCATCATCTCGTTGAGCAATGCTTCCATGCAGTCGCGCACATTCAGAGCCCAGGAAATGAAGGCATGAAATTCGACCACGTCGTATCCTCTTCTCTTGCACATCTGGCGGGCATGCGTCAAGTTCGTTTTCTTCTGGCAGCTGTCACCGTCCAGGTGTGGATGACACGGCAAGCTGGCGAGAGCCATCCAGGTGTAGGTTGCGTTATCTGTACCCAGGCACTTTGTCTTAAAAGCTGAACATAACACAGTACACATGCAAAGTACATTCTTGTACAGTAGAAGTAGTAGTAGTAGTAGTAGAAGCAGTAGAAGTAGCAGTAGTAGCAGTAGCAGCAGTAGTAGTAGCAGCAGCAGCAGCAGCAGCCGCAGCAGTAGCCGCAGCAGCAGCAGCAGCAGCAGCCGCAGCAGCAGCAGCAGCAGCAGCAGCAGCAGCAGCAGCAGCAGTAGTAGTAGAAATAGTAGTAGTAGTAGTTTTTATTATTTTACTTGGGTATACCCAACAGGCCTATGGCCTTCTTACAGGGTACCTAAGGAGAAATTGTGAGCAGCTAGCGCGAAAGCAGGCAAAGTACGCTGGGATGGAATGATAGCGGGTAGTGCATTAAAGCGGTAAAAACTAAGAAAACTAATGGGAGACTGTAAAGGCCTGGCCGGGACATGAATGGGGGAAGAAATATACTACTGAATGTTTGGCCTCTGGTTTGGGAGGTAGTGTGGGTAGCATCATTTCGGGTCGTGAAGATTTGGGAGATGAGGGGACTGCCAAGGGACCTGATTCACCGAAAAGTAAAAGTGAAAAGCTTAAGAGTGAGGCGTAGGCTGAGTGGGTGGAGGTACAGTAGAGCATGACTGGAGTACACACTCTATTAAGACATATACTGCCCCCCCCCCCTATTGATACCGTAGTCCATTTCAAGTAAATCCGTGTTTATCTGAGTAAAATGCACATCCCCTGAGCATAATTTTCACATTTCGCAGCTGCATGTGTTTCAAAGAAACATGCATAATTATACACTTCATTCAGAAGTTACTTACTCTGCTGACACAGGTCTCCATGGAAACCTTTCTGGCAGACGCAGGTACCGTCTTCAGCGCACTTCCCATGATTCAAGCAATGGCATACTGCAGTAGAGATTGGGTGCATTCACGTATTTCCCAAAACAGAGATAGGAACAGACCACCATACAATATCAGACCCTAAAGAAGTTAGTATCACCAACTCAAACCCATAATAAATAATATGGTATCTATTATTGCACGTAAATAGCACAAAATAGGTTGGAGGTTTGAGTTTGCACCGCCGAGATAAGAGAGAAAAATTTTCCTTACAATGATGAGTATGATTCTAGAAATTGTAAATATACCCATGGGTCATACACTCGTTGGCACGCGGCCTAAAATGACAGCAGCTTTCTTTTCCCCTTATAATTCAAGACTATTACAGCTGTTTTTTTAGCCCTTACCTTCTGTGCAATTAGGTCCATCTAGTCTGGGTTTACATTCACATTCTTTGTTCTTTTTCACCCAGGGATTCGTGCACACAACTGCATCGCATATCACACACCGAGGGGAAAGAAAAAAGGAGAGCAAATCAGCCAGACACAAAATGGACAGACAAAAGACTGAGAGACAAATAGATGTTTTACTCAGTAGGCAGCCATTGTCCTATAAACAGTCAGAAGTCCAGTAGGGAGTCGAACTCATCATACCGTCATATTTGCACGACTTCGTTAAACGCGGGCGACTTTCTCTGTAGAAAGTCTACACATTTCCACAGTTCGACACATTTCCAGTGCGCAGTCTGAGTTTTCGTCAGTTGGGATCATGTGCCCACATCATCCAGTCATAGACTGGGTGTAGAATAGCTTGAACTGCGCACCAGCACTCAACGCAAGACAGAGCAGCTATAACGACAGTCGGAGTCTTGGAGTCTGCGTTTGAGCCGCTCACACAGGGAGCTGAAGCCAGTGGAAAGGACACCATCGCCAGCTAGTCGACATTCTAGCAGAACTTGACGTAGCTTGGAGGCCAGCCATCCCTTCGGTGCAAATACTGCACGTATAGCACTGGTGTACAGCAACGGAGACCGTTTAAACTCATTGGTCTTCACTTCATTGGTTTGAGGGAAAGATGTAAATGGGAACAGTCTGGAGAAAACATTGACCATCACCACCAGGACTCGAGAAAGTGACCGCTTTGGTCTTTTCTTCTGCTTCAAGGCAATCTAAAGTCTGTAGTCTTGGCTGCTGCAATATTAGATTGCGTTTGGTTGGGCATTTCCAGATTGTAAATGACAACCATTCTGGAATGGGAATGGGTAAGAATCACCTGACTAAACAAACGCGCCAGAATCAACTAGGAATCACTTGACATAACAATTCCATAATGTCGTTGTGGAACGGCGGCTCTCTTCACTTTTCCTTGGCAGAGTCAAGGTACTCCCGAGTGCATGATTTGAGGCACTTGAACCTGATGCTGCTAGTATTCCTAGCAAGAACTTGAGCAAAATGGGGTTCTGCTTTCTTCACACATAGTTGAAACACAGACAAAGGCTGCATACTCAGGGTCACTCGACACAGCTCCGAAAAATCGCGGCGCAAAAGTGCTTTTTGTCGGGGAATTTTCTGGAAACAATTGTTGATGTTAGGTCTTTATAAGGCACAGTAATGGTGCAAAATTCAAGACTATGTCCAGAGCATTGCATACTGTAAAAGCAGAAATTTTCGGTGGTGTTTTATTTTCGGTAACTTCGGTGTCGACAATTTCTACCGAAAATAAAACGCACCGAAAATTTCGGTACAACCGGTACTGTATACATTTAGTACTAGTACATCTACCTGGAAAACGGGTTTTACCGAAAATTTCTCTCTACCGAACCGCCGATTTTGGTGAATACCGAAAATATTACACCACCGAAAATTTCTGCTTTTACAGTATGTGCCATTTTATCAATTGTCAAAATGGCCGCCTATGCTCCTGTTGGAGCTCTAGAGACACTGTCCAAAGTGAATCGTGGCGAAGACCTAATGTTTTCATTACGACATTAGCCTGCCAAGGCAGTGGAATGCAAAAATCCATAGTACGTTTCCATGATTACCATGGGCTATTTCCATGGAATTTCATAGTATACCTTCTGCGATCACGTCTAAAATCTGTGGACTCCTTCATTAGCCCCATAGCAACAGTTTAGGGTCAGGTTTTAGGTCAGTGTCATAACAAAGACTGTGCAGCATGTCTCTGTATGATGGTCCTACCGGTAGGTCCTACGGGTAGGACCGAGGTCTATGCAAGCTATCAATTAAGTTACACAAATGTTGGCTCAGCTTATCTTTTCAATTGTTTTATTTAACAATTATTCGTTGGTTTGTTGAAACGGAAACGGCTCACACAGTCACTGGATGCCACGTCAGCATGGAGGTATGCTTTGGGAAGAGCTGTAAGCATTCATACTTACCCGATTGGCACTTGTTCCCGGTAAATTCTTTCGGGCAGATGCATTTACCCTTGTCGTCACAATGACCTTGATTCAAACAGTTGCATGCTGCATCAGCCATCGCATACGCACAAACAAGACGTGAGACAGAGGAAATGATGGTATGTTATAGGCTATTCATACTACGTTACAATACGCTTGACGTTTTGGAGCACGACATACTGGCATACGTCGTTTTCATGCAGGTGCATTCACACAGGCACTCACACGCTGCTCATAAAGTTGCGTGTTGCGCTTCTTTTCGACACAAACTGCTGGGAACGACAGAACAAAACTCGGTACAGGAGTCTGGATACGTTGTCTACGATTTCGTACTAGAGGTACGATTTTCCCGCCACGTTCCATGTTGTCATGGCTATCCGGACGAAAACGTCACGTACGCCACGTTCTGGGCGTAGTGTGAATGGCCCATTAGGGGCCGGCCGTAAGTATCGATATTTACAACTCAAACCCACCCTATACCCCTCCTCTCAGAACGTGCATATACAGCACCCTGTCACGCGTGTGTCAATACTCCTACTTCTCTGGACATGTTTCAATGTATCCTGAAAGGAAATTGGTCAACCCGTCCCAGCTCATAACAGAAATAATTTGTATTCAAAAGAATAACCCTTCATATCTACGAATGACCCCTTACTCAATGAGCAGTTGAAATAGTGAAATTTGACCACCCATAATGACCGAGCAGCTGAGACAGAGAAAATGCAAGCAAGCGGTCACGTGTTCATGCGTACTCGTACACGAGTCACCTGGTCACCATGCATGCAGGGCAAGTGCATGCTACAGCTTTTACACCAAGGTTAAAATCAAAGGTTCAAAGGTGCAACTCGAGTGACAGGAACGCTGTCAACGGCGTAACCTGCAGGCACGGCGACCAGGTAACTGGTGTACGCATGAGCACGTGACCGCTTACTCACCCTTGATGGATTGGGAATTTTTTTGGATTGGGAATAGACACCCTTATCAAATAACGGTAACGCTATTTTACGGTACTCGCACCTTCATCACCCAAATAGCGCTGAAACTGCAGCGTTAAAACGTTATGGAGGCTGATTTATCGCTGTGACAAACGGTATGCTTTTTGGCCAAATGTTGCATAGTCTGTACCCATTTCACCTTGTATCGCGTATATGATGACATAAATGGTTGAACCGCACGAAATAAAAGCTATTCTCGTGGCAACAGCATACTAAAGATAGCATGCATCTTGCTAAAGGTCGAACCCAGATCCCGGTATTTTCCCCCTTGCGGTAATACCATTACAACATAACGTTTTTTGCTAAGGGCCTGGTCAGAAACGAAAAAAATCCTGTGATTATAATCCGAATCTCCATAGTAACTTGCCGCCAGAGCTGCAATACCATGCGTTTCTGCTCCAAACAGGAGTTTGACGCTGATACGCCATTGACGCTGATATTCACTGATTTTTTCATCTCGATATCGAGGAGCTAATTTGGCCACGGACAACAACAAAACTCATATGCATGGTTGCAAGGTGTTGGCGATCCCCAAGGTGAAGGAATTTGACGTTGATTGCAATTCCAAATTCTGGACCCTTTTCTTTTTTCGTCAGGCAACCAGTCTGACCAGAACCTACGGGCCGAACGCTGCACCGCAGCCTTTTCGGACCAAAACCAGTCTACTCAGCGCCCAAAAGACTACAACATATGGGCTAATTGCGGTCATCCGCGCTTTTAGAATCCCCATCTAGTAGGGCGCACTCACCCAGTTTTGTTGGAAGTGCGTGAATTCGATTGGAAATAAAGGAGGAAGGGAGCGTCTCAGCTTCCTCGGACCAAGACCATTCGACCCAGAGCACCCCGAAGACTACAACTGGTGAAAAATTGATTTAGGATTCAGGGTATACTTCCCTTTAACCCTTTAAGAGCCACAGAAAAGTTTCAAAATTCTGCATTTTTTTTAAAACGGTCATTACAGGGTGTGGGACGGGGGGGGGGCTATTATTCCAGAGAAGACTTCTGATCATGTGAGCACAGTAGCATTCAAGTTGTGTGACTCTACTCTACTCTACCAGGTAGCTAAAAACCAACGCAGCCAAAGTTTTCATTTCAACAAGCCCAAAGCCTTTGGGAAATCCTTTTAAATAATAAAATTCAAATACATCTGGCAGATCTCTGCTGTTTTCCCGTTATCTTGTTAGTGTTCTTCACCTTCTCTAAAATGAGTGTACTCAGGTTATCAAACACGCGCACGCTTGCACACACACACACACACACACACACACACACACACACACACACACACACACACACACACACACACACACACACACACACACACACACACACACACACACGAAGTTACCAGGAAACTATTTTTAGATCGACTCGAACCCTCTTAAAGGCTGAGAACCGTTCACAATGCTTGTTTATCGTGATCATTTTGCTGAGAGAGGCGAGCTGAGGCTTTGTCATGTGTTACGGCTGAATGCCTGGCGCTGGCTTGACACACCCCGTCAAAGTGACGACGTACGTACCAGGAACGCTCGCTGTGCTTCCTCTTTACCTACGTCATCATGCATGTTAATTGAATTCTGGACGAACTAGTCACGTTCTTTGTGACCACACACCCGTGCACATACATACACACACACGCGCACGCACGCACACACACACACACACACACACACACACACACACACACACACACACTACTATGATACAGCTACCCTAAACGGGTCACGCCGCCCTCCACCCAAGCATGGGTACTATGAGGGGCAGTGGCAAATAAAGAGAATCAGCTAGCAGCAATGGCAAAACAGATGAAACAATGGAGTAGAACGGACAACTGCTGTACTGTAACAACAACCTGACAGTGACAACGACTGAAAATGAACAGGAAAGAAAAGAATACTGCAAAATTTTACGTTACAAAAAAACACTGCCCACGAAAGAATCCACCAAGCAAAAGGAGTGTTGGCATCCGAAATCCCACCAGGATTCCACTGGCAGTTCTTCCACGCTGACGATGTTAGCGGCAGAGCAGTGCCTCACAAATGCCACAACGCTTGACCAGTGTGCACTTATGACGACGAAAGATTGAAGTTTCAATTCCCACCAGGGCTTGAAAGTGCTACGTCACAGCATAGCAACAATTTCAAAAATTCAAAAACTGGATGCACTTGGATCCAGTTTTTGTATGGATCCAAGCACATTTCAAGCGGTTTTACTCACAGCAAAGGTGAAATTGACTGGGTTGGCTAATGGGGATGGGGTGACAATTGGTTGCAAAGAAAAAGTCATACCTGCGTAAGACATGCGTGGGTTGCCATGCACCCACACACAGAGGCAATAGCAAAGTCACACCTTAGTGGATCCAAAAAAGAAATCTGATGTCAACTTACAATGTTACTTTCAATGTAACCTTGCAGCGTAAGAAGAAAAAGCTCTCCTTGCAGCTAAAAAAGAGCGGGGGAAAAGCTGAGATGAAGAAGACATTGCCCTCTGAATCCTAAAAAGGTTTTTTTTTAATTTGCACTTTTTTCTCCTCAGCGTTTCATTTTGTGGCAATGTGTGATTTCTGCTGGATTCATCCCCAGACCTATTCAGTTTGCTGAGCCGTTTTTATTGCGCTGAATGGTTGTACTTGTATAGTGCTGAGAAGTTTTTATTAACAGTTTTTATTTTTCTGATTCGTTTTTATGACCAATCTGTGGTCACAAATCAATGGGGGTCTTTATTCAGTGGATAATTATAACTAAGAATAACTATTATTGTGTTGTAGAAGGGTTTCCTTGAAGGGTGGTGGCGTTCCTACGGATACGGAAAACTGGGCTTCCAGCCGCGTCTCGCGCGAACCGTGAATTTGTTTGCCACAACAATGCATGCTAAAAGCATGGCTACCTGCTAACTGTACACTTTCTTATGTAGTGCAAGTGCCTGATAGGGTATCCGTGCTACCCGGATAAAAATACCCGAACTCGTTGCCCGACCAAACACCTACCTGTTGCAGCCCTGCTGAAAAGTCAGTCGTACACACCAGTCGTCCGTCTTATCAGAGAACTGTCAGCAAAGACCAGCAGTGCTCATGGCTGTACGGCCAGCGCTCCATGGCCACTTAACTCTCAGCGGATTTCAACGTACAGTATAACCAAATTCAAAGTAATGTAAATCACTTTCCAACTGCATAACCCACAATCTCACCTTCTCATAAATGTATCTCTTTTTGGCGATGGGGCCATCGTGAGAATAAAGAATACAAATTCAAACCAAAAAAACACACACACACACACATACACACACATACACACATACACACATACACACACACATACGAAATACACATACGAAATACAGCGCTGCTGACCCGGACTAGCGCTACACTACTACGTTACACTTATCATGATCTCACTTACCGACACAGAGGATTTGGGCTCTGTCATTGCTTCTGGTGTGGTGAAACTCTTGATTGTTCTCGCTAAATGTTACGGTTCTGTAAAGGGAATCACCATCGACCCGGATTGCCTTGACGTGGTAAGCGGCTTGGTCACGTTCATGCTTCAGAGCCAACCTCTCGAGCCCGCGCTCTCTTAATACATCGCCATGTGCTCGCAGCCAGTCTTCGGTTACGAGCTGAAGTCCGTACTGTTGACATGCCTCCTCTGCGAATGGCTCAGTGACAATACGTCTGGATGCTGGGGTTGCTGCGGTATATGCTGAGTTGTTGGCGTGAAGCCACTTGGCTGCAAGACAAGGGCACATCCAGTGGTGGGTAGAAAATACATATACGCAATATGAATAAAGGGTGCACTGAAATCTATCTCAATGCAACCCGATAAGTCAGTGCAATTGTTTTTCTTTATTCCGAGCCAGGTTAAGGTATCGGTCAATATTTGCAGGCATGGGGCTGGGAAGACATGGGGCTGGGAAGTCACATGAGCTTGTCTATGTATCCTTTGTATTTCTTTACTTCTTTCAATTGTATTTGTCTCGAAAGTTGCACAACAGTCATGCAGATCATCCGAGAAGGATGGGTTGATATGCTGAATTAATTCGCCACCTTGAAACGACTACAAGAATGGCGAATGGACCTCATCTTTAGCTTCAATTTAGGAAAATTTAGGATGAGTCTTGGTTTGAAATGTTGACAAAGTCTGGCTCCCGGCACCGGCGATCACCGGCGTGAATGGTTCACAGACCACTGTTGGCCAAATTTGTATGGGGCAGATCGCAAGAGCTGGGCAATGTCCAACTTTGCCGGCGGTCCCCCGGAATCTGAATTTTGCAGGTAAATTACTGATGAGAAAGCTGCAGAAAAGCTACTTTGGGATCTGTTTGAACACATTGCTCTTGCCAGTCAAGGCGAGTGAAGGTCTCTCCAAGATTCTTCACTCCTAATCAGTTGGTGGAAAAAGGAAAGTAAAAAAAGCAAAGGATAGTACAAAAAGTACTCCTTTCTGCATATCCTTTACAAGGAGGATGAAAAACATGCAGAAAATGCCGCAGATTTTTGATGTTACTGCAGAAAGTGGCGCAGAATTACCCTCTTTTCCCCGCGGATTTTATTTGCCGCGGAATTCAGAATTCTTGTCCGAGTTTTTCCAATGGGACAGGATAGTCCATGCGATGGCATTTCACTCTGTACATAAAATGGAATGGGGATAGTTCCTTCACTGGTTACCCATGTTTTGTCGCCGGTACGACCTACAACAGTAAGTCGCCCATTAGAGCGGGGAGCCCGGGTTGTGAGGCACACATGCTGTTGTTTATTTCTCTGCGGTCATGCCTCCTACCCTGTTAATGTCCCTACCCTGTGCTTTCACTGCTTGCCCTGCTGCCCTGAGCTTTCCCCCATGTGGCTAAAAAGGCAACAGCCTACCTTCGCAAATGACGTCATTAAGGGTTGTTCCAGCCCGGTCAAATACCGCTTGCCTATGGTTGTTCTTGTCCTGCTTGTAAATGACATGATCCCCTCTGTGCACGTACGACGTCCATACGGTGATAGTGCTGCCGTAAGTGCTCGCCATCATCTTTCGGAGCAATGCTTCCATGCAGCCGCGCACGCCCTTGGTCGGGTTGATGAAGGCGCTATATTCGATCACGTCGTATCCTCGACGCTGGCATAAACGGCGGGCTTGCGTCAGATTGGCCTTTTCCGTGAGGCTGGGCTCGTTAGCGTGCGGATGAACCGGCAAGCCAGCGAGAGCCATCCAGGAGTACATTGCCTTATCTGTGCCTGGGCAGATGGTCTTGAGAGCTGAACACAACACAGTGCATATTCAGAACACAATCAGGTACTGTGCAACTCACCAGGCACATGCTCCGATAAGACATACACTCGGGCTCAGATACAAAATTTGAGAGAACACTTTAAGGGGCCATCCGGCATTATCAATAATTTTCACGAAACGAAAAAGTATAATTATATGATAGAAAACTGCTATTCAAACCGACCACGATTACCCAACCATCAGTCTCCTGCAGTGTTTCAGGAAATGTTCCATAATATATGGACTATCCAAGGGCTGTACTTAAAATAACTTTGCGTCACCAAAATGAAGAAAAGTGGACCCATTAGCCGATGTAGAATGGTTTTGCCAATATGGATGATCGCACAAACATGAAACTCGAATCGCAGCAAATGTAGGCCTTATTCCACCATTATTTGAAGCCAACAGGGAGGCATATCCAGGGTACTATTACTGGAATACTCCACGGCAAATACATAAATGCATACTCCAATGCAGTCCATTCATACACGATAGTCCCGCTGGAAAGTCAAATTTTAGGCCGGATTGAGACTGTCCACAGTTTGAATCTGGGTCCGGGATCTGCTTCTCCATACATTTTGCCATGGCCTACCTGACGCAATTTTGAACACCTTGCCTCGATCTCTTATTCTCTGTCCTTAGACGTTTTGGCAGATGTGGCAAGGGATCAGGCCCCGATCGCACTATGTCAGAAATAGCGCGTCAGCGTCTGAATCGTGAATTTTTTCCATGGCAACTGACGAAAAAGCGGGAAATTCAGACGTAGCAGCGCCTGGGGCAAGCAAATCGGCTGGGTTGCCACTGCCGCTGCAAGCACTTGCATGAAGAACACAGACCCATGAATAATAGCGTGCCGTACTACACTCTATCATTGCAATTTGGCTCGTCAGGCCCCGAAGGCAAAAGCAAAAATGCAGTGTTCACCGGATTCAAACTTATCATAGTGCCACCAAGGCCAGGTCAGGAGTAGAGGTCAGACCTGATCAAGATGTTGGGTACAAGCTGTACATTGTGACAACTTACGAACACAGGGGCTGGAAGCATAATTTTCACATTTCGCAGCTGCATGTGTTTCAAAGAAACATACATAATTATACACTTCATTCAGAAGTTACTTACTCTGCTGACACAGGTCTCCATGGAAACCTTTCTGGCAGACGCAGGTACCGTCTTCAGCGCACTTCCCATGATTCAAGCAATGGCATACTGCAGTAGAGATTGGGTGCATTCACGTATTTCCCAAAACACACAGATAGGAACAGACCACCATACAATATCAGACCCTACAGAAGTTAGTATCACCAACTCATACCCATATAATCAATTATATGGTATCTATTATTGCACGTAAATAGCACAAAAAAGGTTGGAGGTTAGAGTTTGCTCCACCGAGATAAGAGAGAAATATTTTCCTTACAATGATGAGTATGATTCTAGAAATTGTAAATATACCCATGGGTCATACACTTGTTGACACGCGGCCTAAAATGACAGCATCTTTCTTTTCCCCTTATATTATATTACAGCTGTTTATTTAGCCCTTACCTTCTGTGCACTTAGGTCCATCTAGTCTGGGTTTACATTCACATTCTTTGTTCTTTTTCACCCAGGGATTCGTGCACACAACTGCATCGCATATCACACACCGAGGGGAAAGAAAACAGGAGAGTAAATCAGCCAGACACAAAAATGGACAGACAAAAAGACTGAGAGACAAATAGATGTTTTACTCAATAGGCAGCCATTGTCCTATAAACAGTCAGAAGTCCAGTAGGGAGTCGAACTCATCATACCGTCATATTTGCACGACTCCGTTAAACGCGGGCGACTTTCTCTGTAGAAAGTCTACACATTTCCACAGTTCGACACATTTCCAGTGCGCAGTCTGAGTTTTCGTCAGTTGGGATCATGTGCCCACATCATCCAGTCATAGACTGGGTGTAGAATAGCTTGAACTGCGCACCTGCACTCAACGCAAGACAGAGCAGCTATAACGACAGTCGGAGTCTTGGAGTCTGCGTTTGAGCCGCTCACACAGGGAGCTGAAGCCAGTGGAAAGGACACCATCGCCAGCTAGTCGACATTCTAGCAGAACTTGACGTAGCTTGGAGGCCAGCCATCCCTTCGGTGCAAATACTGCACGTATAGCACTGGTGTACAGCAACGGAGACCGTTTAAACTCATTGGTCTTCACTTCATTGGTTTGAGGGAAAGATGTAAATGGGAACAGTCTGGAGAAAACATTGACCATCACCACCAGGACTCGAGAAAGTGACCGCTTTGGTCTTTTCTTCTGCTTCAAGGCAATCTAAAGTCTGTAGTCTTGGCTGCTGCAATATTAGATTGCGTTTCGTTGGGCATTTCCAGAATGTAAATGACAACCATTCTGGAATGGGAATGGGTAAGAATAACCTGACCAAACAAACGCGCCAGAATCAACTAGGAATCACTTGACATAACAATTCCATAATGTCGTTGTGGAACGGCGGCTCTCTTCACTTTTCCTTGGCAGAGTCAAGGTACTCCTGAGTGCATGATTTGAGGCACTTGAACCTGATGCTGCATGTATACCTAGCACTTGAGCAAAATGGGGTTCTGCTTTCTTCACACATAGTTGAAACACAGGCTGCATACTCAGGGTCAGTCGACACAGCTCCGAAAAATCGCGGCGCAAAAGTGCTTTTTGCCGGGGAATTTTCTGGATACAATTGTTGATGTTGGGTCTTTATAAGGCACAGTAATGGCGCAAAAGACTTTGTCCAGAGCATTGCATATGTGCCATTTTATCAATTGTCAAAATGGCCGCCTATGCTCCTGTCGAAGCTCTAGAGACACTGTCCAAAGTGAATCGTGGCGAAGACCTAATGTTTTCATTACGACATTAGCCTGCCAAGGCAGTGGAATGAAAAATTCCATAGTACGTTTCCATGGTTACCATGGGCTATTTCCATGGAATTTCATAGTATACCTTCTGCGATCACGTCTAAAATCTGTGGACTCATTCATTAGCCCCATAGCAACAGTTAAGGGTCAGGTTTTAGGTCAGTGTCATAACAAAGACTGTGCAGCATGTTTCTGTATGATGGTCCTACCGGTAGGTCCTACGGGTAGGACCAAGGTCTATGCAAGCTATCAATTAAATTACACAAATGTTGGCTCAGCTTGTCTTTTCAATTGTTTTATTGTTTTATTTAACAATTTCGTTGGTTTGTTGAAACGGAAACGGCCCACACAGTCACTGGATGCCACGTCAACATGGAGGTATGCTTTGGGAATCCCATAAGAGCTGTAAAAAATATTCATTCATACTTACCCGATTGGCACTTGTTACCGGTAAATTCTTTCGGGCAGATGCATTTACCCTTGTCGTCACAATGACCTTGATTCAAACAGTCGCATGCTGCATCAGCCATCGCATGCGCACAAACAAGACGTGAGACAGAGGAAATGATGGTATGTTATAGGCTATTCATACTACGTTACAATACGCGTGACGTTTTGGAGCATGACGTACTGGCATACGTCGTTTTCATGCAGGTGCATTCACACAGGCACTCACACGCTGCTCATACAGCTGCGTGTTCAGCTTCTTTTCGACACAAACTGCTGGGAACGACAGAACAAAACTCGGTACAGGAGTCTGGATACGTCGTCTACGATTTCGTACCAGAGGTACGATTTTCCCGCCACGTTCCATGTTGTCATGGCTATCCGGACGAAAACGTCACGTACGCCACGTTCTGGGCGTAGTGTGAATGGCCCATTAGGGGCCGGCCGTAAGTATCGATATTTACAACTCAAACCCACCCTATACCCCTCCTCTCAGAACGTGCATATACAGCACCCTGTCACGCGTGTGTCAATGCTCCTACTTCTCTGGACATGTTTCAATGTATCCTGAAAGGAAATTGGTCAACCCGTCCCAGCTCATAACAGAAATAATTTGTATTCAAAAGAATAACCCTTGATATCTACGAATGACCCCTTACTCAATGAGCAGTGGAAATAGTGAAATTTGACCACCCATAATGACCGAGCAGCTGACACAGAGAAAATGCAAGCAAGCGGTCACGTGTTCATGCGTACTCGTACACGAGTCACCTGGTCACCATGCATGCAGGGCCAGTGCATGCTACAGCTTTCACACCAAGGTTCAAATCAAAGGTTCAAAGGTGCAACTCGAGTGACAGGAATGCTGTCAAATTTTTTTGGGATTGGGAATAGACACCGTTATCAAATAACGGTAACGCTATTTTTACGGTACTCACACCTTCATCACCCAAATAGCGCTGAAGCTGCAACGTTATGGAGCCACAGGAAAGTTTCAAAATTCTGCATTTTAAAAAAAAAACGGTCATTACAGGGTGTGGGAGGGGGGGGGGGCTATTATTCCAGAGAAGACTTCTGATCATGTGAGCATAGTAGCATTCAAGTTGTGAGAATTCTCAATGAAATACACGGAGTTGTATGTGAAACTGCAGGCTACACACACGTCAGGCATTACACACTCCATCTAGCTATAAATAGTGGTCACATTACACTGACGGTATCCCAACTCTTTAATTACCAGATTTTGTATGCTCCGATCTATTTCCTTAGCCTATCCTCGATTAACTGCTCCCTCTACATGTACATAAAGGGGGCGTTCGTTTTTGATCTACGTTTGGGTAGAAACTACTTCTTACAGTAGAGGTGTTCGTTTTTTGAAAAAAAATTCTACTCAATAGGGTAGATTCTACTTTCCTCTACCGGCTCTACCGGGAAAAAGTTGGTAGAATCCGGTAGAAGTTGGTAGAGCTACAGGATTTCCAGCAAGATCAAGGATTTGTACACAACTCCATACAAAAAGAAACATTTCACGTACACATTGTGTAAACTACTAGATCTGGTAGAACAGCGTTCGTACACTTGCCTCCACCATCTACCTCTATCGGTAGTGTGACTCTACTCTACTCTACCAGGTAGCTAAAAACGAACGCAGCCAAAGTTTTCATTTCATTCTTCTTGCAGGAGATCCCCTCAACAAGCCCAAAGCCTTTGGGAAATCCTTAAATATAATAAAATTCAAATACATCTAACAGATCTCTGCTGTTTTCCCGCTATCTTGTTAGTGTTCTTCACCTTCTCTACTCAGATTATCAAACACGCGCACGCTTGCACACACACACACACACACACACACACACACACACGAAGTTACCAGGAAACTATTTTAGATCAACTCGAACCCTCTTAAAAGCTGAGAACCGTTCACAATGCTTGTTTATCGTGATCATTTTGCTGAGAGAGGCGAGCTGAGGCTTTGTGACCACACACCCGTGCACATACATACACACACACTCGCACGCACGCGCACACACACACACACACACACTACTACTACTACTACTACTATGATACAGCTACCCTAAATGGGTCACGCCGCCCTCCACCCAAGCATGGGCACTATGAGGGGCAGTGGCAAATAAAGAGAATCAGCTAGCAGCAATGGCAAAACAGATGAAACAATGGAGTAGAACGGACAACTGCTGTACTGTTACAACAACCTGACAGTGACAACGACTGAAAATGAACAGGAAAGAAAAGAATACTGCAAAATTTTACGTTACAAAAAAACACTGCCCACGAAAGAATCCACCAAGCAAAAGGAGTGTTGGCATCCAAAAATCCCACCAGGATTCCACTGCGTAAGACATGCGTGGGTTGCTATGAACCCACACACAGAGGCAATAGCAAAGTCACACCTTAGTGGATCCAAAAAAGAAATCTGATGTCAACTTACAACTTGTATAGTGCTGAGAAGTTTTTATTAACAGCTTTTATTTTTCTGATTCGTTTTTATGACCAATCTGTGGTCACAAATCAATGGGGGTCTTTATTCAGTGGATAATTATAACTAAGAATAACTATTATTGTATTGTAGAAGGGTTTCCTTGAAGGGTTGTGGCGTTCCTACGGATACGGAAAACTCGGCTTCCAGCGCGAACCGTGAATTTGTTTGCCACAACAATGCATGTAAAAAGCATGGCCACCTGCTTACTGTACACTTTCTTATGTAGTGCAAGTGCCTGATAGGGTATCCGTGCTACCCGGATAAACATACCCGAACTCGTTGCCCAACCAAACCCCTACCTGTTGCAGCCCTGCTGAAAAGTCAGTCGTACACACCAGTCGTCTGTCTTATCAGAGAACTGTCAGCAAAGACCAGCAGTGCTCATGGCTGTACGGCCAGCGCCCCATGGCCACTTAACTCTCAGCGGATTTCAACGTACAGTATAACCAAATTCAAAGTAATGTAAATCACTTTCCAACTGCATAACCCACAATCTCACCTTCTCATAAATGTATCTCTTATTGGCGATGGGGCCATCATGAGAATAAAGAATTCAAATTCAAACCAAAATAAACACACACACACACACACACATACACACATACACACACGTACACATACACATACGAAATACACATACGAAATACAGCGCTGCTGACCCCGACTAGCGCTACACTACTACGTTACACTTATCATGATCTCACTTACCGACACAGAGGATTTGGGCTCTGTCATTGCTTCTCGTGTGGTGAAACTCTTGATTGTTCTCGCTAAATGTTACGGTTCTGTAAAGGGAGCCACCATTGACCCGGATTGCCTTGACGTGGTAAGCGCCTTGGTCACGTTCATGCTTCAGAGCCAACCTCTCGAGCCCGCGCTCTCTTAATACATCGCCATGTGCTCGCAGCCAGTCTTCGGTTACGAGCTGAAGTCCGTACTGCTGACATGCCTCCTCTGCGAATGGCTCAGTGACAATGCGTCTGGATGCTGGGGTTGCTACGGTATATGCTGAGTTGTTGTCGTGAAGCCACTTGGCTGAAAGACAAGGGCACATCCAGTGGTGGGTAGAAAATACATATACGCAATATGAATAAAGGGTGCACTGAAATCTATCTCAATGCAACCCAATAAGTCAGTGCAATTGTTTTTCTTTATTCCGAGCCAGGTTAAGGTATCGGTCAATATTTGCAGGCATGGGGCTGGGAAGCCTTCATGGAGCAGCACCGTGCCATAGTTGCAAATCACCCAGCGGCTATGCCAAGAGTACATAACCCCCCACAGGGTGCAACTGCCACATACCCTGCTGTCCCAACAGACTTTCAAGTTGCTCCTTGCACCAGTGATGTACAACATGTGTGCGGACGTCAATGCATCACACCTTTTTCCTTGCAAAACAATTGTACAGGATCAGATAGGCTTTGGTTCATCGTCAACTTGACGTCAACTTGAAACTCTTTGGAGATTGTGTACTCTTGGTTATACCAATGGAGTGGTATAATATCGGCAAGAGTACAAAGAAAAACAAGTGATGCGTTGACACTCGTACACATGTTGTTAATCACTGGTGCAAGAAGCATTGCATCATATTAATCATGTCACCTTGAAATTCTGTCGGGACAGCAGGGTATGAGGGAGTTGCACACTCTGCGGGTTATGTACTCTTGATGTCGGGTTATTACACAAGTGTGTTCACCTCATGACCTTGCTCGTTCCTCATTTCTTTGGTCAAATTGGGCTATGCGAAGGCTACCCAATTACGTTATGCGGAACCTCTCTAATAACAATACTCGAATATTCGAACATGATTCGTTCGGTTTGTCACATTCGAATATTCTCGAAGTCGCATTCAAGTACTTGTGACGTCACTTTGAATGCAGTGCATGTACATACATGCACGCCAAACACAGCACAGTGCAGTGTGTACAGCCTGCCTGTGATTTTGTACTGCATGTTTGCACATGTATGTGCATACTGGACTGCCAATGTTGCACATAAGATGTATGAACTTCGAAGTAGCCTTATGTGGCAGTGCATTTTTATGTGGCACTAACGTTGGTCATACCTAATAACAAGAGTACATAACCCCCAGAGTGTGCAACTCCCACATACCCTGCTGTCCCGACAGAATTTCAAGTTGCCGTCATTATTTATGACGCAAAGCTCCTTGCACCGGTGATTTACAACATGTGCACGGGTGTCAACGCATCACTTGTTTTTCTTTGTACTCTTGCCGATATTATACCACTCCATTGGTATAACCAAGAGTACACAATCCCCAAAGAGTTTCAAGTTGACGCATCACACGTTTTTCTTTGCAATAATTTGTACAGGATCAGATCGGCGTGGGTCAACCATAGGTTCCGGATTCGTCTGATAATCCGTGTACAGTGTGCATTGCATCATCAAAATGACGTCAACTTGAAATTCTGTCTGGACAGCACCCATAGTCGAGTTGCACACTTTGGGGGGTTATGTACTCTTGCTAATAATAATCACATGAAATGTTTCTCCGCACATGTGGTCAGTTGGCTAATCATGTGTGGATCTGACCCTGGCTAGAACCGTAGGTTTCCCATTGACGTGGGAAACCTTGGTTGTAATCGCTCTTGCTCTCTGTTTCAGTCCTCTAATCTTGTCAATATCATTGTCTACTCTAACCACCCATTGCTGGCTACTCAGCACCTCTCTCACACGTTCTTTTTCTATCACAATGCAACAGCATACCTTCGCAGATGACATCATGATGGCCTGCTCCGGTTCTATCATGTACCTCTTCTCTTAAGCCGTTCTTGCCCTGCTTGTACAAGACATGCATCTTGGTACTATCCCTCAACTCTCTCAAGAAAGATGTCCATATTGTGATAGGGCTCTTGAAACTGCTCTCCATCATCTCGTTGAGCAAGGCTTCCATGCAGTCGCGCACGTTCATAGACCGGTTTGTGAAGGCATGAAATTCGACCACGTCGTATCCTCTTCTCTTGCACATCTGGCGGGCATGCGTCAAGTTCGTTTTCTTCTGGCAGCTGTCACCGTCCAGGTCTGGATGACACGGCAAGCTGGCGAGAGCCATCCAGGTGTACGTTGCGTTATCTGTACCCAGGCACTTTGTCTTAAAAGCTGAACATAACACAGTACACATGCAAAGTACATTCTTGTAAGTAGTAGAAGTAGTAGAAGTAGCAGTAGTAGCAGTAGTAGCAGTAGCAGTAGCAGCAGTAGTAGTAGCAGCAACAGCAGCAGCAGCAGCAACAGCAACAGCAGCAGCAGCAGCAGCAGTAGTAGAAATAGTAGTCTGAACATAACACAGTACACATGCAAAGGACATTCTTGTACAGTAGAAGTAGTAGTACAGTCAGACCTCGGTTAACCGCACACATCCGTTGGACACAAAAATATCCGGATAGGCGAGGGAACCGGATAATCGAACACACATACTGTATGTAAGCATGGCATATGCTGTACATTTGTAACCAACTATTTTCTTCCGGATGGCGAGGGATCCGGATAAACGAGGACCGGATAAGCGAGGTCTGACTGTAGTAGTATTTATTATTTTACTTGGGTATAACAAACAGGCCTATGGCCTTCTCACAGGGTGCCCAAGGAGAAATTGTGAGCAGCTAGCGCGAAAGCAGGCAAGGTACGCTGGGATGGAATGATAGCGGGTAGTGCATTAAAGCGGTAAAAACTGCAAAAATTAATGGGAGACTGTAAAGGCCTGGCCGGGACATGAATGGGGGAAGAAATATACTACTGAATGTTTGGCCTCTGGTTTGGGAGGTAGTGTGGGTAGCATCATTTCGGGTCGTGAAGATTTGGGAGATGAGGGGACTGCCAAGGGATCTGATTCACCGAAAAGTAAAAATGAAAAGCTTAAGAGTGAGGCGTAGGCTGAGTGGGTGGAGGTACAGCAGAGCATGACTGGAGTACACACTCTTTTAAGACATACACTGCCCCCCCCCCTATTGATACCGTAGTCCATTTCAAGTATATCCGTGTTTATCTGAGTAAAATGCACATCCCCTGAGCATAATTTTCACATTTCGCAGCTGCATGTGTTTCAAAGAAACATGCATAATTATTCATTTCATTCAGAAGTTACTTACTCTGTTGACACAGGTCTCCATGGAAACCTTTCTGGCAGACGCAGGTACCGTCTTCAGCACACTTCCCATGATTCAAGCAATGGCATACTGCAGTAGAGATTGGGTGCATTCACGTATTTCCCAAAACACACAGATAGCAACAGACCCCCATACAATATCAGACCCTAAAGAAGTTAGTATCACCAACTCGTACCCATATAATCAATTATATGGTATCTATTATTGCACGTAAATAGCACAAAATAGGTTGGTGGTTTGAGTTTGCTCCACCGAGATAAGAGAGAAATATTTTCCTTCCAATGATGAGTATGATTCTAGAAATTGTAAATATACCCATGGGTCATACACTCGTTGACACGCGGCCTAAAATGACAGCATCTTTCTTTTCCCCTTATATTATATTACAGCTGTTTATTTAGCCCTTACCTTCTGTGCACTTAGGTCCATCTAGTCTGGGTTTACATTCACATTCTTTGTTCTTTTTCACCCAGGGATTCGTGCACACAACTGCATCGCATATCACACACCGAGGGGAAAGAAAACAGGAGAGTAAATCAGCGCAAAAATGGACAGACAAAAAGACTGAGAGACAAATAGATGTTTTACTCAGTAGGCAGCCATTGTCCTATAAACAGTCAGAAGTCCAGTAGGGAGTCGAACTCATCATAAAAATAAAAATAAATGGGGTTCTACTTTCTTCACACATAGTTGAAACACAGACAAAGGCTGCATACTCAGGGTCACTCGACACAGCTCCAAAAAATCGCGGCGCAAAAGTGCTTTTTATTGGGGAATTTTCTGGAAACAATTGTTGATGTTGGGTCTTTATAAGGCACAGTAATGGCGTAAAATTCAAGACTTTGGCCAGAGCATTGCATATGTGCCATTTTAATAATTGTCAAAACGGCCGCACATGCTCGTGTCGGAGCTCTAGAGACACTGTCCAAAGTGAATCATGGCGAAGACCTAATGTTTTCATTACAACATTAGCCTGCCAAGGCGGTGGAATGCAAAATTCCATAGTACGTTAGTATTCCATAGTACGTTTCCATGGTAACCATGGGCTATTTCCATGGAATTTCATAGTATACCTTCTGCGATCACGTCTAAAATCTGTGGACTCATTCATTAGCCCCATAGCAACAGTTTAGGGTCAGGTTTTAGGTCAGTGTCATAACAAAGACTGTGCAGCATGTCTCTGTATGATGGTCCTACCGGTAGGTCCTACGGGTAGGACCGAGGTCTATGCAAGCTATCAATTAAATTACACAAATGTTGGCTCAGCTTGTCTTTTCAATTGTTTTATTATATAATTATCCGTTGGTTTGTTGAAACGGAAACGGCTCACACAGTCACTGGATGCCACGTCAACATGGAGGTATGCTTTGGGAATCCCATAAGAGCTGTAAAAAATATTCATTCATACTTACCCGATTGGCACTTGTTACCGGTAAATTCTTTCGGGCAGATGCATTTACCCGTGTCGTCACAATGACCTTGATTCAAACAGTCGCATGCTGCATCAGCCATCGCATACGCACAAACAAGACGTGAGAAAGAGGAAATGATGGTATGTTATAGGCTATTCATACTACGTTACAATACGCGTGACGTTTTGGAGCACGACGTACAGGCATACGTCGTTTTCATGCAGGTGCATTCACACAGGCACTCAGACGCTGCTCATACAGCTGCGTGTTCAGCTTCTCTTGGACACAAACTGCTGGGAACGACAGAACAAAACTCGGTACAGGAGTCTGGATACGTCGTCTACGATTTCGTACCAGAGGTACGATTTTCCCGCTACGTTCCATGTTGTCATGACGAAAACGTCACGTACGCCACGTTCTGACCGTAGTGTAAATGGCCCATTAGGGGCCGGCCGTAAGTATCGATATTTACAACTCAAACCCACCCTATACCCCTCCTCTCAGAACGTGCATATACAGCACCCTGTCACGCGTGTGTCAATGCTCCTACTTCTCTGGACATGTTTCAATGTATCCTGAAAGGAAATTGGTCAACCCGTCCCAGCTCATAACAGAAATAATTTGTATTCAAAAGAATAACCCTTGATATCTACGAATGACCCCATACTCAATGAGCAGTGGAAATAGTGAAATTTGACCACCCATAATGACCGAGCAGCTGACACAGAGAAAATGCAAGCAAGCGGTCACGTGTTCATGCGTACTCGTACACGAGTCATATGGTCACCATGCATGCAGGGCCAGTGCATGCTACAGCTTTCACACCAAGGTTCAAATCAAAGGTTCAAAGGTGCAACTCGAGTGACAGGAACGCTGTCAACGGCGTAGCCTGCAGGCACGGCGACCAGGTGACTGGTGTACGCATGAGCACGTGACCGCTTACTCACCCTTGATGGATTGGGAATTTTTTTGGACTGGGAATAGACACCCTTATCAAATAACAGTAATGCTATTTTTACGGTACTCGCACCTTCATCACCCAAATAGCGCTGAAGCGGCAGCGTTAAAACGTTATGGAGGCTGATTTATCGCTGTGACAAACGGTATGCTTTTTGGCCAAATGTTGCATAGTCTGTACCCATTTCACCTTGTATCGCGTATATTGACATACATGGTTGTACTGCGCGAAATAAAAGCTATTCTCGTGGCAACAGCGTACTAAAAATAGTGTGCATCTTGCTAAAGGTCTAACCCAGATCCCGGTATTTTCCCCCTTGCGGTAATACCACTACAACATAACGTTTTTTGCTAAGGGCCTGGTCAGAAACGAAAAAATCCTGTGATTATGATCCGAATCTCCATAGTAACTTGCCGCCAGAGCGGCAATACCATGCTTTGCTGCTCCAAACAGGAGTTTGACGCTGATACGCCATTGACGCTGATATTCACTGATTTTTTCATCTCGATATCAAGGGAGCTAATTTGGCCACGGACAACAACAAAACTCATATGCATGGTTGCAAGGTGTTGGCGATCCCCAAGGTGAAGGAATTTGACGTCGATCGCGATTCCAAATTCTGGACGCTTTTCTTTTTTAGTCAGGCAACCAGTCTGACCAGGCCCTAAGGGTGTGTGTCTAATAAGGGCCGAACGCTGCACTGCAGCCTTTTCGGACCAAAACCAGTCTACTCAGCACCCAAAAGACTACAACATATGGGCCAATTGCGGTCATCCGCGCTTTTAGAATCCCCATCTAGTACGGCGCACTCACCCAGTTTTGTTGGAAGTGCGTGAATTCGATTGGGAATAAAGGAGGAAGGGAGCGTCTCAGCTTCCTCGGACCAAGACCATTCGACCCAGAGCACCCCGAAGACTACAACTGGTGAAAATTTGATTCAGGATTCAGGGTATACTTTCCTTCAAAAACGGTCATTACAGGGTGGGGGGGGGGCTATTATTCCAGAGAAGACTTCTGATCGTGTGTGCATAGTAGCATTCAAGTTGTGAGAATTCTCAATGAAATACACGGAGTTGTATGTGAAACTGCAGGCTACACACACGTCAGGCATTACATACTCTAGCTATAAATAGTGGTCACATTACACTTATGGTATCCCAACTCCTTAATTACCAGATTTTGTATGCTCCGATCTATTTCCTTAGCCTATCCTCGATTAACTGCTCCCTCTACATAAAGTTTTCATTTCATTCTTCTTGCAGGAGATCCCCTCGACAAGCCCAAAGCCTTTAGGAAATCCAAATATAATAAAATTCAAATACATCTGGCAGATCTCTGCTGTTTTCCCGCTATCTTGTTAGTGTTCTTCACCTTCTCTAAAATGGGTGTACTCAGATTATCAAACACGCGCACGCTTGCACACACACACACACACACACACACACACACACGAATTTTAAGGCCTGCTGTCTTACCCTTTTCACATCGTTCGCCGTAGGATGTGGTGCGGTTACACACACAACTCATGTTTGCTGCAACAACACCTTTGTTCTCACAGAATTCTGTGCAGAAAAAGAATACGAGCAGCTCAATTGCGTTACTCTTCTGCAGTTTATGAAAGTAGAATGCCAATTATCTAAATGATTGCTTATACAAAAAAGTGTTGTTCAAGACATTTGTGTTATGTTCCCTGACGGAAAAGCATTCTCTCTCGTTGAATCCTTATACATGCTCCCAAAAACGATCAGTCAAAGGAGGTTTCTTCGTTAGGTATTCCCACCAACAACAACAATCAAAATTTGAGCATGCACAATGCATGGTATGATATGGGGGGCAGGGGAGAGGGCAAGGACTTTTGCTACAAGGACATGTTTGAAAAGGACATGTTGAAGCAAGACACAGGGATAAGGGACAGGGAATGGCTATACTGCTTGCGCATAGCCAGTCATTTATTATCGCCTCACTTACTGACACAGAGGATCCGGGCTTGCTCATCGCTTGGGGCGTTGTGAATCGTATGACTTCCGCTGCTAAACGTTACGGTTCTGTAATGGTGTTCGCCATCCGCCGAGATTGGTTCGACGTGGAAGGGCTTGGTGCCGTGATGAGGGTTATGCTCTATAGGCAATCGTTGTAGCCAGCGCTCTCTGAATACATGGCCATGTGCTTGCAGCCAGTCCACGGTTATAAAGTTTAGTCCGTACTGCTGACAAGCTTCACGCGCAAAAGGCTGGGTAACGGCACGTCTCGATGCCGGTGTTGCTGCGACGTATGCTGAGGAGAAAGCATGAATCCATTTAGCTGCAGGACAACAGACAGGTATAGAGGCATTTGGAGAAACATTAAAAAAGCACAGCAGGAAGCAAGCCTGAAGAATGGGCTTCCTGGAAATTGCTGGCACGTTCCATGAATTTCGACATATTGGATAGGTCAGGCCCCCGAAACAGTGCATACCGTATTAATTAGAAAAGCAATCCTGTCAGCTTTTCTCTTATTGTGGTCACAATGCAAGACCAAACGGCACCGATATTTGACACGTTGTCTACGTAAGTTTTTACGTAAGGTGCTCGGTACGTACCTGGACCCGGGAGCACTACTCCATGGCTTGTACCATCGCGTGGCCGGTGGCGTGCATGGCAGACATTCTTTTGCAATCCGTTTTCTCAGTTGTACGCACTACGCCATTTCCCGCCTCAGATCTGCGCCAAATATGATGTAATCACGGAATTCCGCCGTGACAGACACCCATAGTAGAAAAGGCCCCAAGCTGCACACTCTGGGGGGTTTATGTACTCTAGATATCATTCATACTCACCAAAAGATGTGTAACATTTTATTGTTATGGTGTGCCTTGTTTATCTCTCAGTACCTCCAACCATAGCCTTGCCCCTATATCCTCAGGAGCATCAGTGTTCGAATCAACAATTTATTCGTTTACAATTCTATAGTACATATCGTAAAGTCGCGGATAAAAGCCGGGCTTATAAGCGCATAAGCCGCTTTCTGCATGAGGCTTTAATGCAAACCAGGCTTGAATGCAAACCAAGCTTATATGCACCACACTTGCATAGAAGCCAGGCTTCTACGCGCGACACGCGTAGATCTACCACTGACTACAGGTATGGTGGTATGGTTTTACTATGCACTGTACATAGCGCATGCACTTTTGACCTACCCGATCCGCGCTTGCATAGAAGCCAGGCTTCTACACGCGACAGGCTTATATGCATTTGACCCGTTTGATTTTCAGGCTTCTATCCGCGATGTGCTTGTATGCAAACCCGGTTTTTAACCGCGACTTTACGGTACCTTTTATTCCTCCTTTGTCTCAAAAGAGACAGAAGCGGAAGGGTTAGCATTTGCTGCCTTGTTCTATTATTATTATTATTATTATTATTCCTCCTTTGCTGTGCTGCTTAAAGCGGGATTCACAGAAGCTTTTTTGCGATGCGACGCGACCTGCGACGGACGCGTGCGATGCGAACTTGCGAAATACCATTCACAGAAGAAGTCAGTGATGCGACAACATCTTGCTGATTTGGCTACGTCACCGTGATATTCGCGCGGTTTGATACAATTTGTACAAATTTATAGGCAACTCTTGAACCTTTGTACAACTTTGCTGTAGAAAAGGTCACAATTGTACGCCAAATCTCTTGTCGCATCGCATCGCATCGCAAAAGTTGAGCCAAGCTCAACTTCTGCGATGGCCCAGATGCGGCAGTTGCGTGGAGTGCGACATGGCTGCGATTTGGGGTTTCGCGCCTGTTGCATCGCGTGTCGCATCGCAAAAAAGCTTCTGTGAATCCCGCTTAAGGGTTGGTTCACATACGCAAAATCGGTGCCGCAAGAGATCGCAAGAAATCGGCGGTGAGCCAGCTCCCGACCCGTTGCGCATACGGTGCGAGTACCAAATCTACTACAAAGTAGTACAGAATGCGCCCAAATACTACGACAGATTTGCCAATTGAAGCCTGAATTCTTTGTTCTTCCGTAGTTCAATGCCGTTCGGTGATGGCCACTCGGTGCTACCTTTTACCGGAGATCATGAAACTACTTCTACACGAATGGACCTCATCTTTAGCTTCAATTTAGGAAAATTTAGGATGAGTCTTGGTTTGAAATGTTGACAAAGTCTGGCTCCCGGCACCGGCGATCACCGGCGTGAATGGTTCACAGACCACTGTTGGCCAAATTTGTATGGGGCAGATCGCAAGAGCTGGGCAATGTCCAACTTTGCCGGCGGTCCCCCGGAATCTGAATTTTGCAGGTAAATTACTGATGAGAAAGCTGCAGAAAAGCTACTTTGGGATCTGTTTGAACACATTGCTCTTGCCAGTCAAGGCGAGTGAAGGTCTCTCCAAGATTCTTCACTCCTAATCAGTTGGTGGAAAAGGAAAGTAAAAAAAGCAAAGGATAGTGCAAAAAGTACTCCTTTCTGCATATCCTTTACAAGGAGGATGAAAAACATGCAGAAAATGCCGCAGATTTTTGATGTTACTGCAGAAAGTGGCGCAGAATTACCCTCTTTTCCCCGCGGATTTTATTTGCCGCGGAATTCAGAATTCTTGTCCGAGTTTTTCCAATGGGACAGGATAGTCCATGCGATGGCATTTCACTCTGTACATAAAATGGAATGGGCATTGTTCCTTCACTGGTTACCCAGTTTTTGTCCCCGGTACGACCTACAACAGTAAGTCGCCCATTAGAGCGGGGAGCCCGGGTTGTGAGGCACACATGCTGTTGTTTATTTCTCTGCGTTCATGTCTCCTACCCTGTTAATGTCCCTACCCTGTGCTTTCACTGCTTGCCCTGCTGCCCTGAGCATTCCCCCATGTGGCTAAAAAGGCAACAGCCTACCTTCGCAAATGACGTCATTAAGGGTTGTTCCAGCCCGGTCAAATACCGCTTCATCATGGTTGTTTTTGTCCTGCTTGAAAAGGACATGCTCCCCTCTGTACACGTGCGACGTCCATACGATGATAGTGCTGCCGTAAGTGCTCGCCATCATCTTTTGGAGCAATGCTTCCATGCAGCCGCGCACGCCCTTGGTCCTGTTGGTGAAGGCGCTATAATCGATCACGTCGTATCCTCGACGCTGGCATAAACGGCGGGCTTGCCTCAGATTGGCCTTTTCCGTGAGGCTGGGCTCGTTAGCGTGCGGATGAACCGGCAAGCCAGCGAGAGCCATCCAGGAGTACATTGCCTTATCTGTGCCTGGGCAGATGGTCTTGAGAGCTGAACACAACACAGTGCATATTCAGAACACAATCAGGTACTGTGCAACTCACCAGGCACATGCTCCGATAAGACATACACTCGAGCTCAGATACAAAATTTGAGAGAACACTTTAAGGGGCCATCCGGCATTATCGATAATTTTCACAAAACGAAAAAGTATAATTATATGATAGAAAACTGCTATTCAAACTGACCACGATTACCCAACCATCAGTCCCCTGCAGCGTTTCAGGAAATGTTCCATAATATATGGACTATCCAAGGGCTCCCCACACCGGAGCTCGCGCTATTCCGCCGACTTTACTTGACACTTGACTGACTCACGACTGCCATCCAGAGCACACGAGAAGTCCATCGAACCTTCGACTCGGCAAACCTGCAAGAAAGCACCACTCCCTGCTCAATACACAGTGTTTCGGGGAATTCACCCCTCATCAGTTGAGCTTGAGTAGGCTGAGGAAGATTGTGCCTGAAGAGCACCACTTATATAGTGCTCTCCAGGCACAAACATCACCAGGGATACAAACTTACAGAGACGCTCCGCGGAATAGCGCGAGCTCCGGTGTGGGGAGCAAACCATTCTTACAAATCATCGCCGAAGTCGCTACCACTACTTCGTATCCAAGGGCTGTACTTAAAATAACTTTGCGTCACCAAAATGAAGAAAAGTGGACCCATGAGCCAATGCAGAATGGTTTTGCCAATATGGATGATCGCACAAACATGAAACTCGAATCGCAGCAAATGTAGGCCTTATTCCACCATTATTTGAAGCCAATAGGGAGGCATATCCAGGGTACTATTACTGGAATACTCCACGGCAAATACATAAATGCATATTCCAATGCAGTCCATTCATACACGATAGTCCCGCTGGAAAGTCAAATTTTAGGCCGGATTGAGACTATCCACAGTTTGAATCTGGGTCCGGGATCTGCTTCTCCATACATTTTGCCATGGCCTACCTGGCGCAATTTTGAACACCTTGCCTCGATCTCTTATTCTCTGTCCTTAGACGTTTTGGCATCAGATGTGGCAAGGGATCAGGCCCCGATCGCACTATGTCAGAAATAGTGCGTCAGCGTCTGAATCGTGAATTTTTTCCATGGCAACTGACGAAAACGCGGGAAATTTCAGAGTCAGACGTAGCAGCGCCTGGGGCAAGTAAATCGGCTGGGTTGCCACTGCCGCTGCAAGCACTTGCATGAAGAACACAGTCCCATGAATAATAGTGTGCCGTACTACACTCTATCATTGCAATTTGGCTCGTCACAGAGTGGTTTTGTAAAGTGCGTCAGGCCCCGAAGGCAAAAGCAAAAATGCAGTGTTCACCGGATTCAAACTTATCATAGTGCTACCAAGGCCAGGTCAGGAGTAGAGGTCAGACCTGATCAAGATATTGGGTACAAGCTGTACATTGTGACAACTTACGAACACAGGGGCTGGTAGCGTTGCCACTTTGATGTTTGCCTTTAGGGCATTCTGCGTTACATGTGTCGATTGCCAGCACCACGAGCAGCAAAGAAAAGAGCAGCTTTGCCCTTGGCGGTATTCTCCCCAGCTGTGAAACACCACACAGAGAGACAACTTATTATTGGAAAAGATTCTAGCGAAGAGTTTTCTATTCGGCGTATCATCTTAATGTCTGCAAATTCACACACACACACACACACACACACACACACAACACACACAACACACACACACACAACACACACAACACACACAACACCAAGACAATGTTCAATGTCCAGTGCCACGCTGGTCTGACAGAGAGGTGTTTTTTTTATCTAGCTCGCAAGTGTCGAGTTTCTGAGAGAAAACAGCAGTAGTAGGTGTAGTTACAATGTAGGTCACCACTGGTGCGCGGTGGCCTCAGTACTTATCTTTCCTAACGTCATGCCTTACCTGGAGCGACAGTTGCAAATGGCCGGAAAGAACTCTACTCTCCTACCTCTACCACGAGCAGGCAGAAATCCAAAGCCTCTAGGCTCAGCAAAAACTAAGTTACTTGATACCGTCAGCCAGCTCCTTGTGCACCGCATTTTCCACGTACTTAGTCGGACAATTCTTGTCATAATAATAGGATAGGAAAAGCAAGCGGCCAGCTAAGCTTCGACGAATCCTCTACCCGTACTGTCACTCTGGTCACACAAGAACTTGGCGTCGTGACGCTATACTATAATATAGCCAGTGCCAGTGGCCGGAGTGGCCGAGAGAGTTGCACTTTTTGCAAGAACAAATATAAACTACATTCAATGATTGACTTGTCTTTTAATGTAAAAACGGTGGAGACGATGTGCAATAAAACGATGAAAATATGAAGAAATGGTGTAGGGAAAAAATATGGATTCAAACAAGTTTTCGTACAACACTCATCAGGAATCGTCAATTTTTGTTTCAGTGTCCTTTAGTACAACGACGATTCCTGATGAGTGTTGTAAGAAAACTTGTTTGAATCCATAATAAAATAAATTACTTTTCCCTACACCATTTCTTCATATTTTCATCGTTTTATTGTCTTTTAATAATAATAATTTAATAATATTATTATTGTCTTTTGATAATAATAATTATTAATCTTTACTTATAAAGAAGAGGCACCTGTGACGTGTGTTTGTCTGCGTGTCACGCTCAGGCCTTGCTGCGGAGCAGCGCTGCCCTGAGCACGCGAAGCGTGCGAACATGTACAGTGTAGCTAGCGGCCGCAGAAGCACTGAGCACGCAAAGGGTGCGAATCGTGTAGCTAGCGGAAGCAGCCACAGAAGCACTGAGCACGCGAAGCGTTAAGCGTGCGAATCGTGTAGCCACCACCACGTGCTGAGCACGTGTGCTGTTCATGTACTTGCTTCACCCGCATGCCACGTTCGGCCTGGCCGCGGGTGCTGCTAGTAGTCCATAAACACTCTTGATAATATTAATAACTATTCTAGTAGATCTAACTAATACTTGTCGTGTAGATCTACTACTACTACTAGCACTAGTCTATGGCTAGTGTTAGATGTAGATCTACATGTAACGAACTCTGCTAGCTGCGCTTCGCTTTCCTGCGCTTGTAGTAGCCTACAAGTCATCGAACGCCCAAATTGACTGCATCCTGGACTCATTTGTTTGTTTGCTTATTCTATTTTTACTTCACCAAGTAAACAAGCATTTCTGCCCTCTCACCAGGTCCGGAGACCTAGTCCCAACAAAAATGATGAAGAGCATCCAGAACAGTAAATAATAATTGGTGCTCTGCTGTGGAACGCTCTCACTTGTGAGGTCCGCACAATCACTCGGCTACCTGAGTTTAAGCATACATGTGTGCCATACGCCTGTAGGAAGACACCAAACTACTAAAAGATGGCATTTGAAATAGCCTTTATATGGGTAGCGACTTCGGCTATACAATGTCATTGAGGACTTGTGTGTAGCTCCCTACGTGGGAGATCACATGTTTCCTACCGTCTGGTCTTGACACTCAAGGTCATGCCCTGCATTTCCAGGATTCTCGCCCTCTCCTATTTTGCATGCTTCGTACTAAAAACCTTACACACACCATCTTCAATTCAAGTAGTCTCTTCGCTGCAAATTACAATAATTCTCAATCAAATTTTCGGCCAGTAGCTGTACTAATGAGGTATGTATGGCCGAAACAGCTTGCTGTCTACAGCATTGGGTATATTTTGAAGTAGATACAGTAGATATGAAATCCAATCACAACTAAAAGGTCTTTGCGAACTTGACTCCTTGCGTCCTGGTAGACAAATCTCTTCTGTGTTTACTAGCACATTGTTGCTAAATTCATGCCTAGAACATATTATTTCCTGAACTGTTTGAACGTCTCCACCTGTCTCTGGCTTTGAATACCAGGAGACGCAAAGCACTCAAAATGAGCCATCAAGGGTGCACACGATTTTAATCTCTCTTTTTCCACAAAGCCAGCATGCTAAGAAGCTGCTTATTGCCATCTCTCACTTCTACAATTCTGCTTGATATCTTAATCTAGGAGCCGTGACATCATTCATGACCCACAGGAGGAAGGCAGCGATGCCTGTACCTAAGGTAGAAAGTAAAATGAAGATAACAAACCTAACATAACCTGTCTCTCTGTCTCTCGCTCTATTACATTCTCTCATTCTCTCGTTCTCTCTCTCCCGCAGGAAATGTACACGTATAGCCCAATGTATGCCCTACACTATTCCAACTTAAACGTTATCAACAATAATGTTATTCATTCACATGCTTTTCCAAAACCTATCCCATTCATACCCGACTCAGGCACTTACCATCGGGAATACCATCCTGTTAGACGATGGGTGCATGGGCACGCATGCACTGCCGACGCGACTAGAAGACGTCCTCCGCAATAGGTCTCTGCTGGCCACGAGCAGAATAGAGGACGATGAGATCTACTGTTTCTTCGTGTGTCCACTGCTTGAAACCTGCTCCGAGCCTTCCCAAGAAGAGAAGTGGGTGTGAAGAAGTGGATGCTGTCTCCTGTCAACTTGCCAATACCGGTGCTTCCACTACTTATCGCTTGGAGCTTATCACTCCTCAGTGACTCATTCGATCACGATGTCAACTACTCCCCCCCCCCCCCACCTGTACGCGTACCGTATATCCCGCCAGATGCAGAGCACCCTACCTCAGCTCAGCCACGCCTCGAGGCTTGGGTCCAGGTGGGGAGAGGCGGATGGCCTGGGCGAGTACTATGAGTCGTACCAAGAGTTTATGCACTCTTGGTCGTACTTTCGTATTTTTTTTCATGATGAGAAACCTGACAGTGTGAGGTAAGAACACGAAACGCAAGAAAAAGGCCCAACCCTGCCCTGCCAGTCATTCGGTAGGTACTACCAAGAGTACATAAATAGGTACTCTTGGTACTACATTGTACATGCACATGAACTCGGCTCTCTGTACATGAAGAACATGAAAAAAAAAAAAAAACCCACCGTACGAACACTGTGGGTGCGTCTCGTACATCGATCAATGCAACGGTCAATAGCTGATATCAAGAGTCCATAACCCCCACTGTACTCTTGCTGATATACCAAGTAACGTGCAACCAAGATCAAGAGTACATTATAGCAATAAAAACTGCTTTATGGCAGTTTTCTAAAAAAAGTTATTGTGTTCTAGTCCATGGACCCCGTCTAAAAAGTAAGAAATTAACGAAATGTGATAGCCGAAAATTAAAATTTCACACAAAACCTCACAATAATCACAACAGTTGAAATGCTGCTTTCAACACTAAACTTGTACAGCACCAACAATTGGCAACATGCATGTCATGTATGCATAGGAAAGAGGATCACGAGGGGAAAAGGTCTTCTACATGTAGCTTTTCATTCTGTGTGTGATTATTGTGAGGTTTTGTGTGAAATTTTAATTTTCGGCTATCACATTTCGTTAATTTCTTACTTTTTAGACGGGGTCCATGGACTAGAACACAATAACTTTTTTTAGAAAACTGCCATAAAGCAGTTTTTATTGCTATAATTTCTTTTGTTTTTTCTGTCACCAATCAATGGAATGCCCTATATCAATATGTAAATGATGGCCTTCACATCATATCAATACTATGTTAAACGCATTGATGTGCAAGCCTTTTCTTGCAGAAAATGGCACTAGCATAATGCATGTTCTTCTGCGGGGAAACATGTGAGCAGTGGCGGTGATACTTTTTTTATACGGAGGTCATTCTGTGCATGTTGCTGTTGCAGAATTTCATTACTCTGTCATAAATTTGTTTTGCCTTTCAGATATTTCAGATTTCTCCACCCTCAATCAGATTTATTTGAGAAATGTAGCCATGCGCCAGGTGCGTGTCGCAGATTTTTTTGTTGATTCTGTGTTTATAATGGTTTATAGTCATGGGTTATCGTGATAAGGTCATCCAGCATCATATTGAAACTGAAATCGTAACCATGTTGATGTCGATACAACTTTTGGAAGTAGTTCAATGACTTCAAACTGTTAGTCCACGATTGTCTAAAACAACACAGCAAAGGAGGAACAATAAACATGTATTAAAATGTAAACGAATACATTGCTGAGTCCAAAACCTCGTTCCAACAACTACACTGATCCTGAGGAGAAAAGGGGGCAAGGCTATGGTTGGAGGTACTGAGAGATAAACAAGGCACTCCACAATAATAAAATCTTACACATCTTTTGGTGAGTATGAATGATATCCAGTCGAACCTCTTTAGGACGAACACCAAGGGACCGATGGTATTTATTCTGTGAGCTTAACCTATTTTATAACCAGAGAATACAATTATATCTCCAATAGACATACGAATAGATTTCTTCTACAGCGAAAGATTCTAAGCCACACCGACTCATTGACTCGTCTCGTATGAAACAATTGAGTCACTAGAGAGATTCTGCCAAACGAAAATGCGTACAAACTTTCGCTCTACATCATGAAATGCGAAACTTGCAGGGAACGCGAAATGAACTGTCGTAGGAAATTTCGTGAGATCGGGTCATAGCGTAAGTGCACTTGGCCCGCGCAAACTACGAAAATGTGCAGAACGCAAAGTTCGTGCTAAAATTCGCACACACTTTCGCAAGGACTGTCGCGAAACTTCGGTCGAATTTTCGTTTTGCAGAACCTCTCTACTGAACCTTTCTTTAGCAACATGACGGCAACTGAAACAGCAACAGAGAAAGTACGATACATGTACTCCACATTCTTACAGGTACTACAAACAGATTGCAGATCGTAATTCTTGCTTTGGCGGCACGAAACTTTATTTGAGGCAGTGCAATCTCGGCGGTACTCACAAATCAAACAGCCCAGACTTGAGCAAACAAATCCAATCATAAAAGTACGAGATTTTCACGAGACGAGACTGCACCCATTGGCTTGTTTCGTATGAAACAAACAAGTTACTGAACGTCTCCACAATAGAGATTTCCCCTGATATGCGAATATATTTTGCAAACTCGGTCAATTGGTACTTGAACCTTTCCCTCCAGATTGGGAACTGCCAACGATAGTATGCCACTGACCAGTGCCTTACTTGTAACGTACCAATGTACAATGAATATGAGTATTTCGACAACACATCTAACATAAGCCTTACCGTCAAGATGTTGAACTCGCGTTTTTCGCACACTGTAGACAAGGGCAAAGAGATAAAAATGGATCTAAATCCGAATAAAATCAGCACACGTTTCCGTAAATGAAAGGTGAACATAAGCAAATGAATCGAAGGAAACCGGTCAACTTAGAGATCACCTGTCATCGAGTATTCCGTAAAAGGAGGCCTCGCAGCTCGGCAGCAGAAAAGCAAAATTTAGAAAAGAGATCCTGTCAACTTTTCCATTATTTATTGCATTCCGCCCCAAAATCAGCACACTTTTCCTAAATGAAAGAGTCAACACAAGCAAATGAATCAAAGGCAACTGGTCAACTCACCTGTCATTGAGTAATATTCCGCGAAAGGAGGTCTCAGCAGCGCCGAAACGAAATAAGCCAGGCCATGAGACGAAATATCCGAAACAGATCATGCAAGAAGCAGTTCCAAAGAAGGAAGTTCCTCGTGTATGCACATCCGAACACGGATCCGCGGACTGCATGCACTGAACACAATGTCTGCCGTGCACCTGCACAGCACACGGCTACCACGCGTTGGTAGATCTAATACCGAGCACCATACGTAGAGACTTACGTAGCCTAAGTGAAATACCGAGCACCTTACGTAGAAACTTACGTAGCATAGCGATGTCGTTTTTTCTGCCATGTGAACCAGGGAGTCGTAAATAGTATTTTACGACTCCCTGATGTGAACACAATAATAGAAAAGCTGACAGGATCGCTTTTCTAAATAACCCCGGGGGTTATAATCTTGGTGCAACTACACACTGGGAGACTTGGGAGTGCATTGCATGCAGAGAAGTTGCATACAAAGTTCAAAGTTGCACGGTTACCTGAGTCGTACAGACCCATCCAAACCCAGGGTTTGTGCGATCCCTGGACAAGAGGGTGTCAACTGTTTATATAATATTTATTTCTGTACCTCGTAGCATGGCAAGACAGTCAATTGAATTGAGGACTTGAAACGAAGCGAAGGCATTACAGATCGTTTTCTACAGTACTGTTGCACCCTCTAAATGACGACAAATTGACTATATCCCCTCCTTTTTGATAATGTATTTCACCAATAAAATAAGGCTTGGAATTTTATAAGCATGAATCATTGACGGGCTTGCCCCTTCTGTTCGTGCATTGCCCTGCTCTAAATAGTGCATGAATCCGCCCAGTCCACATTCCTTCTCCGTTTTCTTTTCTTTCAGCTGCTCTGTTTTACTTTCTCTTTTCGTTCGTCCCTCTTGATATTTGTACTTTGTACTGTTCAGGCAACGAATTGAAATTCTAAAACATAGTGATAAATTTCACCCCGCTGATGAATTCTTTTATTCCGATTATCATATTCTTTCTTTCCTTCTTTCTTTCTTTTTCTTCTCTTGCCATGGCTGGCTAGCCGGCTAACGCCCCCTCCTTTGCATTGGCTTCTGCCATGGACGGTGAAATAAAATAAATAAAAATAAATAAATAAAAACCAAACCAACCTAGCCATGAGAGAGTGAAACCAACCACGGAAGAAGAGAAAGAAAAAGAAAGAAATATAAAAGCAAGTACACGAAAGAGGGGTAGGGATTAGCAAGGTACGAAGCAATGGGATGCCCAGCGAGCTATGCAGCGGAAGTGGTGACTGTGATTTTGTTTGGAAGATACTAGGGAGGTTCTGCTATACAGTCCGTGCGCCAAGCCCTTGAGTAGCCTGTTTTTTATTTGCAACCGCGGGAAAAATCGAGGTGCAAAAAGATGTCGACGACACAATTGTTTTGTTGGTATTTTGCAACCTTATTTGGACCTGAACTGTCGTGTGCTGGAGGAATCCTTGTTCATAACTGCTTAAACTGGTTTGCAGCTGAGGTATGTCCCTTTGTAACCTATGGCACTTTAGCTGAGGTTCGTTGCGCCCAACTGTAGACCATGAAGACCTGTGTTTGCACTACATATTTTTTCGTCGTAATCGTACCATCAACTTGCTTGTCGTGCTGGAGTGGATAGCATAATCGGACACTCTCGGCTTATGCTCTAAGCGAAAGGTAGATATATTTGGGTTTGGATTCCCAAAGCACATCCCAATGAGGCTATGCAAAATGGAGCGGCCCACAATTTCGTGGAGGTATGTCGAATTGTGTGGAATTTTGCACTAAAGTAATTGTGCTTGAACAAGGACGTTTTGGCTGCTTATTTTCCTTGGGCATCTCGACATTGCAAACTAGTCCCCTTGCTGTTGTGTCTTCGACATCTAAACGGAATTTCTATGTAAGTCGTGTGGTTGGGGTCCAGATTTTAATCAAAATCCAGCAGTATTCCTGGCTGCTAATCTAGTTTGCTAAAGTTCTGGCTGAAGGTAGTCGGTTGAACAGTTTCTTTTGTATGTACCATGGTCAGATGGTAGGACGTTCATTACATAATTATAGATGGAGTACATAGTCAAAGAAACTTTTTATG